TTCAAGTGGGAGGATGTGCACCAGCAAGCCATGGAGCAGTTGAAGACCGCACTCACGTCCGCACCCGTCCTGATCCTGCCAGATCCAGAAAAAGACTATGTCATCGAAGCTGACGCTAGCGACCAAGCAGTTGGAGCAGTCTTGATGCAAGACCAAGGGAAAGGACTACAACCAATCGCTTACCTCAGCAAGAAATTGCACGGGGCAGAACTCAACTACCCGATTCACGACAAAGAGGCATTAGCGATCATCACGGCATTCAAGACATGGCGATGCTACCTCGAAGGGAGAAAGACCACGGTCTACACTGACCATTGCAGCCTAAAATACCTGAAAACGCAGCCGACCCTCTCCAGACGACAAGTCAGGTGGATTGACTTCCTCGAGACGCACTTCGACTACGACATCGTGTACAAGCCGGGACACAAGAATAAGGCAGACGCACTGAGCCGGCCTGGACACGTTGCCGCCATACAGATTGAGGGGATGAATCCGCTACTCAAGGGACTCTTCACGCACGAGTATACCATCGACCCCGAGATTCCCTTAGCAGAGAAAAATAAATTGTTGCAGTGGGACCACGACGTCGCACTACGCAAAGGATCAACAAAGATATGGGTACCCAACTACCCGCCTCTTCGGCAGTTGCTTCTCGAAGAATTCCATGACGTGCTCTACGCTGGACACTTCGGGAGTAACAAGACTCTTGCCGGGATTGCGAAAGTCTACTACTGGCCTCACATGGCAAACGACGTGCAAAAGTTTGTCACTTCGTGCGACACGTGCTAGCGGATGAAAAGCAGTAAGCAGAAGAAAGCAGGACTTCTTCAGCCTTTACCCGTCCCGGAACAGCCTTGGCAAGTGGTCAGCTTGGATTTCATCACCGGTTTACCACCTACCAACGCGGGGCATGACGCCATCCTGGTCGTCATCGACAAATTCTCAAAGATGGGACACTTCATTCCGACACATACAACCGCACGCACAGAGGAAACGGCACAGCTATTCCTCAAACACATCATCTCACAGCACGGGATCCCAACAACCCTCATATCCGACAGGGACCCCAAGTTTACTAGCAAGTTCTGGAAAGAGCTCATGTCGCTCATGGGGACACGCCTAGCAAAGTCATCTGCATATCATCCCCAGACCGATGGGCAGACAGAGCGCTTGAACCAAATTGTGGAACAACTCTTGCGCGCAGCGTGCAAGGACGACATTAACAAGTGGGACTTGCACTTGCCGGTGTTGGAGTTCGCCTACAATAATGCGAAGCATGCCGCAACAGGAGAGACCCCATTTTTCCTCTGTTACGGACGACATCCACTAACTCCACGATAGCCGACAGTACCTGCAACTGTCCAACCCGCGCACGACTTCGTTACCACAATGCAGCAGCTTTGGGATCGGACACACAAGCGTCTACAGGACATACAGTCTTCACAGAAACGCTTGGCCGATCGCCATCGACGTGATCATACCATTGCGGTTGGTGACCATGTGCTTCTCGACATATGCAACCTCAACCTCGGTCACCTTCCATCCAAGTTACGACCTCGCTTCTGCGGACCTTTCCTCGTAGAAGAGCAGGTCACTCCAGTCACATTCCGCTTGCGCCTACCAGCTTCTTGGAAGATTCATAACGCCTTCCACGTGCAGCTTCTTAAACCCTATCAAGATCCAAATAAGCTGTACACGGGACGCCAACCTCCGCCGCCGCCTCCAGTCCTCGTGAATGATGAACTTGAGTACGAGGTTGAATCTGTGCTTGCACATCGTCGTCGTCGGCATGGCGCCCTGGAGTTTCTCGTACGCTGGAAAGGCTATGATCCTTCTGAGGACAGCTGGTTCTCTGAAGAAGACATGAGTAACGCCCGACGTTCTCTCCGCAACTATCTTGTCAAGCAGGGTGTTACATCTACCACCCAGCTTTGAGGGGGGGAAGTGTGAGAGTACGCCGACGTTCGACATATTTCTCATTTCCATATTTTTACTCCGTCTTACCGTATTCTCCTTATTTTCCTCTTTCATTTGCACTTTATTTCACCTCAATCGGACTACTATTCTATTTTCTAGAGCTTTCCTATTATTTCACTTATTTGGTATTTTCGGCACCGACATTTACATTATACGGCACCGACAGCACCGACAGTGGTGTACAAGGCGTAATCTCGCCATAATCCAAAGTGCCAATGGGCTTGCGTGCTTATGCGCACTTGTGATTATCTATTATAGAAGAGCGCGTTCCCGAAGGTTCGGATTATCTGTTGTTTCTATGTATTTCTGAGTATAAATACGCCTTGTACTCACCTTTAGTGCAACATTCTCGAGTGGAAATTCGATCCTGTGACAGGAAGTGCCGCAGCAGCAAGGGCAAGGGTGGCAGGAGTGGTGGCGGTGGCAGCGGGGGTGGTGGTGGTGGCGGCAGTGGAGGTGGTGGAGGTAGCGGAGGTGGTGGCAGCGGTGGGCGTGGTGGCGGGAGTGGGGGCTTTGGTGGCGGTAGTGGTGGCGGCGGTGGGGGTGGCGGTAGAGGCAGCAGTGGGAGTGGTGGCAGTCGGGGTGGAGCTGTTCAAAGGGGAGGTTCTGGCGGTGGCCAGAGGCAGCACCAGCAGCATCGGAGCGAGACCCCTTCGCCCCCGCAGCTTCGTAAGTCGTTGGCTCAGCGTGGGGCGTCTGGGGGTAGTGTTAGCTGCCCGTATGTCATTCGCACGGGTGACCGTGCTGGTCAGACATGTGGGAAGCCTCACTCTCAGCACCGCTGCTTCTCTCGCCTAGACGACGCTTGGCACGCAGATTTTGGTGACGAGGCCGAGCGCCCCCGCTGGACAGAGCTGCTTAGGTCTGGAGTTGCTATCTTTGCTCTTCACTATGATGCTATCCTTGCTGCCATGTATGCCTTGTCTGTTAGTGCTGAGGGTGACTGTTACCGGTGTGTGCAGCCCGACCCAGGTATAGAGGATGCTGCTCTAGGTGCTAGTGAGTCTGCTCTCCCTGGTACTGCGCCTGCTGCGGCCTTGCACACCTTTACGCTTGACTCACGTGCTTCCTGCTGTTTCTTTCGCGATAGTACCACCCTCACTCCTCTCTCTGCACCTGTACGGGTCCGACTGGCTGACCCCGCAGGGGCCCAGTTCTTGCCCGTTCGTCCACTGTTCTCTCGTGTCCGGCGGTTCCGTCCGGCTCACTCTCAGGTCTTCACCTCCCCTCGTTCTCTACGAACTTGGTGAGTACCGCTGCCCCCAAGGATGCGATGGTCACTACCACCACTCCTGGGGGTCAGTGTGTGTCAATCTGCACGTGTACACGGACGGGCAGTCACCTGGCCACGTTCACCCGTTGGCCTGGGTCGAGTCTGTACACACTGGCTACCGAGCCTCCTCAGGTAGCTGCGTCTGCCCAGCTGTCTACGTCAGGTCTGGTAGAACCCCCCTGCTCATGTCACCTCCTGTCGCACCAGACTCTCTTTTGGCACCACCACCTTGGTCACCCCTCCCTGCCACGCCTTCGTGGCATGCACTCCCGCCTCCTTGTTTCTGGTCTTCCCAAGTCTCTGCCTCCCCTCCCGCCCTCGCCTGCCCCGCCCTGCCTTCCTTGCATCGAGGGGCAGCAGCGCGCCGCTCCTCACTCCTCCTCATTTCCCTCGACGACTGCTCCCCTGCAGACTCTCCACATGCACGTGTGGGGCCCAGCCCGCGTCAGTGGACAGGGCCGCGAGCGCTACTTTCTGCTGGTTGTTGACGACTACACGCGTTACACCACGGTCTTCCACTTGCGCAGCAAGGGTGAGGTCCCTGATGTCTTCATCCCTTGGATCCGCGCAGTCCGTCTCCAGCTCCGCGAGCGGTTCCGCGAGGACCTTCCTGTCTTGCGTCTGCACTCTGACAGAGGTGGTGAGTTCTCCTCCGACCTCTTGCGGGACTTTTGTCGTGGGGAGGGCATCCTCGTCGTTCACGCTTCCGGCCTCCCCGCAGCAAAATGGGATTGATGAGCGTCGCATTGGCTTAGTCATGGAGGTCGCTCGTACCTCCATGATCCATGCGGCTGCTCCCCATTTTCTGTGGGGAGGCGAATCTGCAATGTCAGACGCGAATTTTTTGTGATTGGGCCAAATTGTTGTGGCTCTGACGGCGACTTTGCTATGATTGGGCGAAATTTTCGTGCTGTAAGGCGCGGATTTGCTGTGTCAAGGCAATTTTGCGTTGACTGTGCGAATCTGCTGTGACCCGTGAAGTCCGAATCACCAGTCAAGAACTCGTTTGTACTCTGAATTCATCAGAGTACACTCCCGAAAAACTCTGAAACGTCAGAGTCAGCCTATAAAAAAATCTGATTTTCACAGAGTTGAGGCAAAAAAAAAATCTGAATTTTACAGAGTACACCCTAAAAAAACTCTGAAATCTCAGACTAAAACAAGCAAATCAGACAAAAAACTCTGACTTCTGGGGGCCTGATGTGCTGTCCTGTCAGTTTGAGTTGGCAGGGAATCACTCCCTGCCAAGTTGCGCGAGAATCAGATTCGCGACCCTTTATGTTTTCGACTCGATTACAATCGGCCGAACGAGATCTACAGTTTGGTGTAAAACAGATAGAAATTCTTTTTTCCATTTTATAAACTCCGGAGCTTATAAAATCCCTCGATTTTAAGCGCACCCCCTAAAAAAACAGTGGGTTTTTATACCCCCGGGGGCGCTTCTATCCGGGGGCTGACGGTACCTAACCCTAACAACTGTACCCCATATGACATGCCTCACTACATGCTACAACGTTTGACATTCTCCTATGGGTGCCCACTGCTGATGCTGCTGGTCGATGAAGCATTGACTAGAAGAAAGAATCCTTCAGGTAGTTGAAAACTGGTTTGTGATTCAAATAGGTACATGGCACACTCTATTTACAAGTACTATCATGACTCATCTACAGGGAAAACACGTGCACCTAACAACATTACCAGCAAACAGGTAAGTTGCACAACACATGGCTTATTAATCAGCTACCATAGTCTAGCAGAAGTACACGCAAGTTGGTTTGCAATGGAGAACAAGGACCGAGCGCACAGAATGCCCGTTGCCATCCTTCCACGTGATGCTGGCGAACTTGAATTTTCTGAACCTCGTCCTCACCACAACCTTCACCTTGAAACTGACCCGTTGCCCCGGCGCTATGGTAAACTGCGATGGCACCACTCTCACTCTCACTTCCTTGGGGGCCTTGATCCTCACCCTGTAGGTCGACCTGGTGTCTGAGACGCTCGTCACAGTCCGCCTAGCAACGAGTTTATTCACTATGTTTACCAACGAGATAGACGGCCGATTCAGGTTCCTGGCTGGAATGGGCTTCAGTGGCACCTGCCCGAGGGTCTTTCGAGCTAGCTTCATGCTCAGCCCAGCAAGAAAGTTGCGGAAATCTTGCTCCCCGGCATCGTAGGTCAACCCAGGGTCAAGCGCCCTAGCGGGAAACACATGCCCTGCTCCCATCTCCCACGGCGTTGCCGGCAGCCCGTAAATATTCCGAATCATTCTGTTCCTGTTGTCAGTGCTGCCCGCTGTGGTCATCATGGCAGACATGACCTGCGCGGGCGTCCAATCAGGATGCTGCTGGATGATCAGAGCAGCCACACCGGCAACATGCGTTGCGGCGACGGCTGTTTCCTCATACACCGAAAACGACCCCGTCTCTCCGACGGCTTTCCCAGGCGCAGCTGCAATGGTGTTGACCCCCGGGGCAATGATGTCGGGCTTGAGAACGACGTTGGACGAGCGGGGTTTCCACGGGTAGCAAAACGTACAGCCGGAAGCGGCAAGAGGGCCCGTGGAGGACCAGGTGGGAACCATGGGGAGGGCGGTGGCTGCAGGGGAGACGGTGGCAGGGAGTCGGGTTCCCACCAGTGTTGATGCTGATGAGCCGGTGGCCTTTGCGAGCAATTCAGCTGCTGCTGCTGCTGCTCCTGCTGCTCCTGGTGCTCCTGCTGCTTCTGCTGCTGGTGTTGGTGTTGTTGTTGAAAATGAAGTGAGGGAGGCCCGGGGCACCGTGCTGCATGGTGGGGCATGGACGGCATTGGTAAGCATGAGAAGGAGGGGGAAGACGAGCGAGGACATGGAAGCAAAGGTAGAAGCGTGAGAAAAAAACGCATGAATCAAGGAAGAAGGCGAAGAATCACAGTGAAACATAAAGCTGCAGCGTGGAAAAGAAACAGGCTCCTGACCCTTGCCTGCACAGGACAACGAGTGCGCGCACACTCATGCCATGTCACTTACGTAATAGGTTGCCGGGCAATGTTGCACCGCATGGCATGTCACGATTGCCCGTCCCTGAAAACCTCGACCTGCAACCTCTGCGTGAGCCTGTCAACTCTGCCACTGCTCCCCATTCTCACCTTGCCCCCACGCTGATATAGTAGGGTGCAAAGTTGTCAATGGCAGGGAAGGGACCGTACAGATAACGGTAAAACGATCTCCCCTCATCGCCCACTGCGAAAGACACAGTCACTCCTGCCTGGGGGGAGAAAGGGAGGGGAAGAAAAGGGCGAGAATGAGGAGTGAGGGAAGGGTGATGGGCGGGTCTCAGCGCAATGGGTTGAGAGGGAGGCAGGGGAGAGAGAACGAGGAGAGAGAGCAAGAAGGGCAGGGAAGGTTAGAGGAGAAAGGGATGAGAGAAAGAAGGAGCATAGAGAAAACGAGAGAAGAAAGCGAGGAATGGCTGACCAGGGGCTTACAATAACAAACATGCGTGCAAGTACATTCAGTACCAGTCTTTACTCGAGTTCACCACCCACTGCATTGGCAGGGATACAAAGCGGTGAAATTGATTTCAGATTTATGCCTATGCCCCCATTTGCATGCGTATGAATTCAGAAACACACTTGGGCCAACCGGCGAAGCCACACCCACTGCATGCCCCTCACACCCACCGCAAGGGCGCCGAGGAAAGGCAAATCGTCAAAGAAGGTCTGATTGCCGTTGGAGCCAATGCTTCTGCTCATGTCGTTCAGGGACAAGGTGAGCACATCCACACCGTCCGCCACAGCCTGATCAACGGCTGCAAAGACGTCTGCATCTCCAGTGCCTGTGTAACCGTCATCTATGTGCCAAAACACCTTGTAGATGGCCAGCCGTGCCTTGGGAGCCACGCCACTGACTGTGCCCCCGCCAGGCACCTCCACGCCACTGTTGCCCGCTGCCGCTCTGAGAGTGGGGTGGGGGCGCATGGGACAGGGGAGGAGCAGGTATGAGGGGGATTTCCATGGCACACATAGGCTCATCTTCCTTGTGTCTGCCAAACTACTTTGAGCAACGCCATGCCACGCCACGCCACCCCGCGCCACACCACGCCATGCCATGCCAGACAACGCCGTGCAAGACCATGGCATGGCATGGCATGGCATGGCATCGCCACAGGCACTTCCCCTTCTGCTGCATGCCTGCAGCTGCTGCCTGTCCCTGCACTCACCGCATGCCCCTACACTCACCCTGCACACCACGTGCCATGGCCATCGGAATCCCGTGGGGACAGCCAGTCGAGGGTGAGGTTCACGCTCACACGTTCTTCGCTCTCAAATCCCGCGTGAAAAATGCCCCCCCCGATGATCTTGTTGTTGCATGCGAAGTCGCTTGTAGTGGGACACGTGCCCGTCCACCCGGCAGGGAGCGTGCTGCTGTAGCCCTGGTGGGGACGAGGAGGGGTGGAGGGGGGTAGCTAAGTAGGAAGAAGCGTTCGGAGGCCTGAGAACTTCGCGTAGAAAAGCTAGCGTGAGGGTGGGCCCATAAGGGGAACAGTGAGGGTGGGCCCATAAGGTGAACAGTGAGGGGCGGCTGTGATCGTACAGTGTCGTCAAAAGAGGGGTGCTCCGGCCACACGCCGCTGTCCAGGATTCCAATCACCGTGCCTTCACCGTCGCTCGACGCTCCAGCTGGAGTGGCAGCAGCAGGATTGGCAGCAGCAGGATTGGCAGCAACAGGAGTGGCAGCAGCAGCAACGGGTGTGGCTGCAGCGGGGGCAATGGGTGTGGCAGCAGTGGGAGCAGCGGGAGTGGCAGCAGTGGGATGAAGAGCAGCGGGAGCAGCGCAGGTGCGAGGCAGAGACTTGTACACCTCAGCGGTGGTGGTGGCGCAGCGTGTGATGGTGCGAGAGGCCGTGACGGACGCCACAGAGGGGTGCCGCCTGATGCGCTGCACCTGCGCTGCCGTGAGGGCCGCTGAAAAGCCGTTGTCTGTGTGCTTGTAACTGAGGGGGAAGGGAGCGCGTGCAGGGGGAGGTGAGGCAAGGAAGGGGGGCCCAAGAGTGAAGTTGTGCGAATCGGTAACTCGATGGTGGTGCGGGCAGGGTGTACGAGTGATGGATACGCCTTGTGCGGCATTTTAAAAGTCGAGGGGAGGAAGTGGGGGCCACGGGATGAACTTGTACGAGTCCTTCTCATTCCCCTCACGCTCACCTGCACACCATCTTCCTCTCACCTATAGACCATCTTCCCAGCATCCACCCCGCTGTCTCTCAGCACGGCCTGCTGCATGCGCTGCAGCAGCTGCTTGAACGCCCTCACGCCCGGCGCCCTCACGTTCACCCGCGGCCGCCGCAACACACGCCCTGAACCGCTGGCAGTGGCAGCAGCCGCAGGAGTGACAGGAGCAGCAGAAGCCGTGCCAACGCCACCGTTGCTTGCATCAGAGGAGTTTGAGCGACCCGCCACGTCGGCACCGTTGGCTGCATCGCCACCGTTGGCTGCATCGCCACCGTTGGCTGCATCGCCACCGTTGGCTGCATCAGCACCGTTGGCTGCATCGTTCGCCGTCGCATCTATCGCGTTGCCATTGGGGTCGCTCTCCCACACGGCCGTTGCCGGGAAGCCGGGGATTCCCCCGCGGTACGAGGCGACGGGCGGCGCAGAGCGCAGGCGGACGATGTAGAGCGCGGAGGCATGGGGGGAAGCTGCGGGGGATGAGGGGAACAGGGCAAGGGGGGGATGAGGAAGAGAGCATAAGAGGAAGCATACGAGGGATTTATTTCAAGGGATGATGCAGATACGAGCGGCGGTGGTGCGTGGCCGTTTGCTCACCGGCGTTGGTGGGGCGGGAAGGCGTTACAAGTAGAGAGAGGAGGAGCAATAGTAAGACACGGACAGCCCATACTACTAATCGAAAGTATTGTTTCTCAGAATGCAACGAATGCTGTTTTCCAGAACTCTTCAGGAGCAACGGGTGTTGTTTGCGAGAAGCCATCACAGCGGTAGTACTAGTACTATTAGGAGCAGGAATGGGGGTAATTCTGGAAATGGAAACGGATACGCACGCACGAAGCACTCGGAGATTTATCCTCGTCGAGGGCACAAGAAAGGTGATACCTCGTGAAATCAAGAAAATGTCGCGTGGAGGAAGAAGCTAAGATGTTTCCACCCCTCGTATTCCCCCCAGGAATGCACGAGTGACACACAGACGTTGAATGACTCTCTATGACGCTGCTAGTGTCACGCTGTCCTAGTGAGGGTGAGCCTACTACCAGGCGCTGTCAAGCGTATGACTTCAGAAACAAAAACCGACCTTGACCAGCCTGCCACCGTGCTTGACCTGAGTAAACTGTTTGCACACGCAAGCGTTGCAGCGTTGTCGAATCCCAGTTGTGACATTTTTCACGCAAGTGTAGGCCATTTCTTTCTGGTCATAAAATATAATTTAACTTTTTTTAAATCTGAATATCACACGTCAGTAGTCCAATGGTTAGGATATTTGCCTTCCAAGCAAAAGATCTGGGTTCGATTCCCGGCTGACGTACAAGTGTGACGATGCGTTTCTCCTATAGCGTTTGTTTTTGCCAATTTCCAAGCATTTTTTTTCCAGGAACACCATATCACGTCTTTCGTTTCCTCATGCGCTCCTCTTGTTCCACAGCCACCATTCCAGCCTACCTCTCCTTACCTCACCGCGCAGTTCCCCTCATGACGCCTTCCGAATCCGCTACCCCAGAATGTCGTCTGCTTTATTCCTCCTGATCGCCTCCCGAGTCGCCTCCTCAGAAACCTCGGTGAAACGATAACCGCATCATCTCACCGCATCCTGTTCTTTGTCCTTTTTCTTCTCACAACCAGACGTGCACCCGCGCCGGCAGTAGGTTATCGGTCCGGTACCGAGGAGTTTCCGCGAATCGTTTAAACAGCGGCGGTTGTCCTCTGCTACGCGCGGCGCGGCATGACCCAGAAATTGCCCGCGCCAGCCGTGGAAAGAGGGGGGAGCGGGGGGAGCGGGGGGAGCGGGGGAAGCGGCGGGGGGAGCGGAGGGAGCGGCGGGGGAAGCGCAGAGGATGTCGCGGTCGTCCTTATCACAGCAGCTGAAAATGCGGCTGTCAGGATCGACGATGCTGACGTGGCAAGTCAGGCGATTCGGGAGCCTCCTACTGCCGGATCGGCTTCGCCTCCCGCGTCCATGTCCATCCGCGCCGTCAGCCGACGCGGCTCGCAGAGTAGTCCTCAGAACGTGACACGTGGCGGTCAAAGCGGTCAAACGGAGCAGCAACGGAGAAAACGGAGCAGCCGAACAGAAAGTTCAAAAAAAGTAGTTCCCAAGGTGCAGCTGGCGAGCCAATCAGAGCGAAGAGGGCTCATGACAGGGACACTATCGACGGGAAAGCGTCCAGTGTTGCCACGTGGCGCAATGCAATTGGTCGTGGATCCGTACAACCTGTGGGGCAGCCGAGTAGATGCGCGGAAGGTTCCTCTGAAGCCGTTTGTGGTGCGGTACGGCGACACTCTGGCCGCCCTCGCTGTGAGATTCAGGTGAAGGAGGGGAGGTGCAAGTGGGTCTGAATGGGTGCAAGCTGTCTGTTGAGCGGTATGGGGACACTATGGTCGCCCTCTCTGTGCATTTCTGGCGAGGTGCAAGTGGTGCAAGTGGGTGCAATGGGATGCAATGGGGTGCAATGGGGTGCAATGGGATGCAATGGGGTGCAATGGGGTGCAATGGGATGCAAGTGGTGTTGGACGGACTGGAGGCGTTTTTCTGTTTGCTGGTGCTGCGTTTACCGGGGACGCATGCCGCCAATCACAGTAACATTTCAGTAATTGGGCATTTGTGATGTGATAAAGGCGTCTGCTTGAGCATCTCGTATGGGGATGAGTTTCTCGTAAAGGCTTCTGCTGCATTCTTTTAAAGGGGATGGAACCATCTGCTGCACTTGAAGAGCAATGCTTTTGTTCTGTGTCTGAAGTACATACTGTATCCTATCCGTGCAACCTTTGCTCAGAATGAACCTCGGTCGGACTGTCTATTCTATTTGCCTGTGTGCCCTTTTTTAAAGAAACCTCCTCTTCTGTGACTGTGTGTAGTGTGACTATACGCGACCTGCAGAGAATAAACGGGATGCAGTCAGATGCCTTATATGAAGGCTCCATTCTTCTCGCACCCAGAGGTACCGTACAGCTGTATGTATATGATGCTGACCGGAGACCAGTACAGCTGTATGTATATGATGCTGACCGGAGACCAGTACAGCTGTATGTATATGATGCTGACCGGAAACCCACAGCTACAGTATAACATCATAACTCTCCTCTTCGCTCCCCCTCCCGTTTCCATTTCCACACCCCCCTTCCTCCCGTCACCTCACACTGGTCGCAACCAACCGCACCAAACGCCTTCAAAACTATCTGCCATGATGCCATCCATCCACCACTTGGCCCCACCCTCTAGCCTTCCTCTCACCACCACCCCCTTTCTTTGTGCAAGGCACGGCTGCTTCGCGCCATCAACCCCTCATTCCCATGACGTGCCTCCAGGTTTCCACCGCACCAACCGCCTCGTCTTCTGTTGTCCAACCTCTACCAACCCAGTCATCCCCCATCCACTCCACTCCATTTGCCCCACCCCTCCCCCTCCCCCCCACTTCTCCCGCTCAGGCGTCATCACCCCTTCCCGCGGACGTGTGCCCTGGTCTCCGCCACGCCAACCGCCTCTGCTTCTATCTCCCATCCCCTATCCACTTCCCTTTCCCCCTCACTTTCCCCCACTTCACCACCCTCCACTTTCCCCCCCTCTCCCCCCCCTTCTCTCCAGGTGGCATCACCCCCCCTCCGCCAGGTGTGCACCCTGGCCTCCGCCGCACCAACTGCCTGCTCTTCTATTCCATTTCCCCTAGCAACTCGCTCTTCTCACGCCCATCCCCTACCAGCCCGCTCATTCCCTATCCCCTTACCCCTTCTACCCTTTCTTCTTCCAATCTTCTGCTTCTTCCCCCTTCCCCCCTCCAGGCGCCATCACCCCCCCTTCCCCTGACGTGCGCCCGAGCCTCCGCCGCACCAACCGCCTGCTCTTCTCGCGCCCGTGGGTCCGCCCACCAGCCCTCGGCCAACCACAGCGCGACACGTGGCGCTTCCACCCTGGCACACGGCACCGGCTTAGCCAGGCAAAAGGCAGGCAGAGGGGGTATGGATGGTTGGGAACGGTGGAGAGGTGGATGGGAATGAAAATACTTCGTTAAGCTTGCAGTGATGATGGGATGCTGGGATGATGGGATGCTGGGATGCTGGGGTATGCACATGTTATCAGCAGGAACCATCTGTGTGGCTGCTGGCTTCAGCCACGCCCATGATCCCTGGGGGATGCCAAATTCTTACTGTACTGTCTTCCCGGCCCTTCCAGGCATGGGGTGTAAGGCTGGCAGGAAGGGGTAGAAAGAATGCACTTCATCTGGTTCTTTTGACCACGTAACGACATCATTCTTGTGAAGCTTAGACCTTTTGAATTGCCTTTCCTGTGCTATCAGGAAATGCCTTCCCATATGCTGGCAGCAATCTCTTCTTCCCATATGCTGGCAGCAATCTCTTCTTCCCATATGCTGGCAGCAATCTCTTCTTCCCATATGCTGGCAGCAATCTCTTCTTCCCATATGCTGGCAGCAATCTCTTCTTCCCATATGCTGGCAGCAATCTCTTCTTCCCATATGCTGGCAGCAATCTCTTCTTCCCATATGCTGGCAGCAATCTCTTCTTCCCATATGCTGGCAGCAATCTCTTCTTCCCATATGCTGGCAGCAATCTCTTCTTCCCATATGCTGGCAGCAATCTCTTCTTCCCATATGCTGGCAGCAATCTCTTCTTCCCATATGCTGGCAGCAATCTCTTCTTCCCATATGCTGGCAGCAATCTCTTCTTCCCATATGCTGGCAGCAATCTCTTCTTCCCATATGCTGGCAGCAATCTCTTCTTCCCATATGCTGGCAGCAATCTCTTCTTCCCATATGCTGGCAGCAATCTCTTCTTCCCATATGCTGGCAGCAATCTCTTCTTCCCATATGCTGGCACGGGTGCATTACGACTCATCTCTTCTCCCACCGCTCTCTCCTCTCCCCCCCATCCTCGCAGCAGAGCAGGCGAACCACTTCTTACTCCTTCCTCTCTCTCCCCCCTCCTCTCGCCCCTACCCCCCCTCTCCCTCCCCTCGCTCCTCCTTTCTTAGGGCGTTGACGTGGCGGCAGAAGAGGGCGAGCCAATCAGAGCTGCTCGCAGTGGTGTTGTGGCTCATGTGGGAGAGATGGATGTGTGAGTGGCTTGAGGGGGAGGGATGGGCATGTGGGTGGCGCATGGGGGGGAGATGGATGTGTGAGTGGCGCATGGGGGGGGATGGGCATCTATGGGTGTGTGGGTGTATGGGTGGGGGGTCGTATGGATGTGCATAATGCTGGGAAACGTATGTGATCTGTGCTGCCCAGTGGCAGCGGCAGTGGCAGTGGCAGTGGCAGTGGCAGTGGCAGTGGCAGCGGCAGCGGCAGCGGCAGCGGCAGCGGCAGCGGCAGCGGCAGCGGCAGCGGCAGCGGCAGCGGCAGCGGCAGCGGCAGTGGCAGTGGCAGTGGCAGTGGCAGTGGCAGTTACCATTCCTTCCCTCTCTCTCCGTTACCTAAACCCTTCCTTCCCTCTCTCTCCGTTACCTAAACCCTTCCTTCCCTCTCTCTCCGTTACCTAAACCCTTCCTTCCCTCTCTCTCCGTTACCTAAACCCTTCCTTCCCTCTCTCTCCGTTACCGAAACCCTTCCTTCCCTCTCTCTCCGTTACCTAAACCCTTCCTTCCCTCTCTCTCCGTTACCTAAACCCTTCCTTCCCTCTCTCTCCGTTACCTAAACCCTTCCTTCCCTCTCTCTCCGTTACCTAAACCCTTCCTTCCCTCTCTCTCCGTTACCTAAACCCTTCCTTCCCTCTCTCTCCGTTACCTAAACCCTTCCTTCCCTCTCTCTCCGTTACCTAAACCCTTCCTTCCCTCTCTCTCCGTTACCTAAACCCTTCCTTCCCTCTCTCTCCGTTACCTAAACCCTTCCTTCCCTCTCTCTCCGTTACCTAAACCCTTCCTTCCCTCTCTCTCCGTTACCATTATGCCTCGCTCCTCCGTCTCTTCACCCCTCTTGACTCACCGTTGAAGCTCTTGTCACTCACGTTCGCCTCAATGGCAAACTCTGGTAGAGTTGCATTTGGGAATTCTCAAAGGCAACACCAACATAACTCCCTTCCCTCTCAGCTCTTGTCTCACCCCTCTTGACTCACCGTTGAAGCTCTTGTCACTCACGTTCGCCTCAAGGAAAACTCTCCAAAATCTGCTCTCGTTTGCTTCTCCTCCCCCCCCCCCGCACCCCCTCCTCCACCTCACAACAGGTACGGCAATCTGGTCCCTCTGACGCACGAGGCAGGCTTCACCGCCCACTACTCACAGTTCCTGAACGTCTCAACACTCTTCCAACTGCCTCTCCCCTCCTTCCCCCCCCTTCCCCACTTCACATCAGGTATGGCAATCTGGTCACACTAGCGCATGAGGCAGGATTCACCACGCACTACGCACACTGCTCCAAGATGGTCGTGCAAGCCGGGCAGGTGGGTCGCTCTCTACACATGATCGGGTGATCTGTTGGGTGGAGCGTTGTGTCAGATGCTCGTAATTCGTGCCACAAGGCATGCTTTCCACTTGCAAGTCCAAGTGCATGCGTTCCTGGTCAGGTGTCTGTGAGGCTGGGCTAGGGGAACCTACCGAAGCCACTCACCTCAACTCTAATTCCGCCTCCCCGTTGACTTTACCCGATTTATCAGAGGATGGGAGAGGCAGATGGCTGCACCGGTGGGCAACACTCGCAGTTCCGCTCTGATCTGATCTTATGCCCGTTCATTCAGACTCTATTCCTGCCTCCCCACTCGCCTGCCTTCACTCCACGCCCCTCTCCCACTCCCTGTACTCTTCATTTTCACCAGAGGGTGCGAACAGGGCAGGTGGTGGCGCTGGTGGGCAACACTTGCAAGTCCGTGGCATCGAATCACACACCCTTTCTTCCCCCCCTACCCACCCGCCTCCATCCTCCTCCCCCGTGCACTTCTCATTTCCACTCGTCACTTCACCCCAGCAGAGGGTGCGAGCAGGGCAGGTGGTGGCGCTGGTGGGCAACACTGGGCGGTCCATGGGGCCGCATTTACACTTTGAAGGTGAGCTTGCTGAAGGTGAGCATGCTGAAGGTGAGCATGCTGAAGGTGAGCATGCTGAGGGTGAGCATGCTGAGGGTGAGCATGCTGAAGGTGAGCTTGCTGAAGGTGAGCATGCTGAAGGTGAGCATGCTGAAGGTGAGTTTGCTGAAGGTGAGCTTGCTGAAGGTGAGCAAGCTGAAGGTGAGCATGCTGAAGGTGAGCTTGCTGAAGGTGAGCATGCTGAAGGTGAGCATGCTGAAGGTGAGCATGCTGAGGGTGAGCATGCTGAGGGTGAGCATGCTGAGGGTGAGCATGCTGAAGGTGAGCATGCTGAAGGTGAGCATGCTGAAGGTGAGCTTGCTGAAGGTGAGCTTGCTGAAGGTGAGCAAGCTGAAGGTGAGCTTGCTGAAGGTGAGCTTGCTGAAGGTGAGCACGCTGAAGGTGAGCAAGCTGAAGGTGAGCGAGCTGAAGGTGAGCATGCTGAAGGTGAGTTTGCTGAAGGTGAGCTTGCTGAAGGTGAGCATGCTGAAGGTGAGCTTGCTGAAGGTGAGCATGCTGAAGGTGAGCATGCTGAAGGTGAGCTTGCTGAAGGTGCTCATGCTGAAGGTGAGCATGCTGAGGGTGAGCATGCTGAGGGTAAGCATGCTGAAGGTGAGCTTGCTGAAGGTGAGCTTGCTGAAGGTGAGCATGCTGAAGGTGAGCACGCTGAAGGTGCTCATGCTGAAGGTGAGCATGCTGAGGGTGAGCATGCTGAGGGTGAGCATGCTGAAGGTGAGCTTGCTGAAGGTGAGCATGCTGAAGGTGAGCATGCTGAAGGTGAGCTTGCTGAAGGTGCTCATGCTGAAGGTGAGCATGCTGAGGGTGAGCATGCTGAGGGTGAGCATGCTGAAGGTGAGCATGCTGAAGGTGAGCATGCTGAAGGTGAGCTTGCTGAAGGTGAGCTTGCTGAAGGTGAGCAAGCTGAAGGTGAGCTTGCTGAAGGTGAGCTTGCTGAAGGTGAGCATGCTGAAGGTGAGCAAGCTGAAGGTGAGCGAGCTGAAGGTGAGCATGCTGAAGGTGAGCATGCTGAAGGTGAGCTTGCTGAAGGTGAGCATGCTGAAGGTGAGCATGCTGAAGGTGAGCTTGCTGAAGGTGCTCATGCTGAAGGTGAGCATGCTGAGGGTGAGCATGCTGAGGGTGAGCATGCTGAAGGTGAGCTTGCTGAAGGTGAGCTTGCTGAAGGTGAGCATGCTGAAGGTGAGCACGCTGAAGGTGCTCATGCTGAAGGTGAGCATGCTGAGGGTGAGCATGCTGAGGGTGAGCATGCTGAAGGTGAGCTTGCTGAAGGTGAGCATGCTGAAGGTGAGCATGCTGAAGGTGAGCATGCTGAGGGTGAGCATGCTGAGGGTGAGCATGCTGAAGGTGAGCTTGCTGAAGGTGAGCATGCTGAAGGTGAGCATGCTGAAGGTGAGTTTGCTGAAGGTGAGCTTGCTGAAGGTGAGCAAGCTGAAGATGAGCTTGCTGAAGGTGAGCAAGCTGAAGGTGAGCATGCTGAAGGTGAGCATGCTGAAGGTGAGCATGCTGAAGGTGCTCATGCTGAAGGTGAGCTTGCTGAAGGTGAGCTTGCTGAAGGTGAGCATGCTGAAGGTGAGCATGCTGAAGGTGAGCTTGCTGAAGGTGAGCATGCTGAAGGTGAGCACGCTGAAGGTGCTCATGCTGAAGGTGAGCATGCTGAGGGTGAGCATGCTGAGGGTGAGCATGCTGAAGGTGAGCATGCTGAAGGTGAGCTTGCTGAAGGTGAGCTTGCTGAAGGTGAGCAAGCTGAAGGTGAGCTTGCTGAAGGTGAGCTTGCTGAAGATGAGCATGCTGAAGGTGAGCAAGCTGAAGGTGAGCGAGCTGAAGGTGAGCATGCTGAAGGTGAGTTTGCTGAAGGTGAGCTTGCTGAAGGTGAGCATGCTGAAGGTGAGCTTGCTGAAGGTGAGCATGCTGAAGGTGAGCATGCTGAAGGTGAGCTTGCTGAAGGTGCTCATGCTGAAGGTGAGCATGCTGAGGGTGAGCATGCTGAGGGTAAGCATGCTGAAGGTGAGCTTGCTGAAGGTGAGCTTGCTGAAGGTGAGCATGCTGAAGGTGAGCACGCTGAAGGTGCTCATGCTGAAGGTGAGCATGCTGAGGGTGAGCATGCTGAGGGTGAGCATGCTGAAGGTGAGCTTGCTGAAGGTGAGCATGCTGAAGGTGAGCATGCTGAAGGTGAGCTTGCTGAAGGTGCTCATGCTGAAGGTGAGCATGCTGAGGGTGAGCATGCTGAGGGTGAGCATGCTGAAGGTGAGCATGCTGAAGGTGAGCATGCTGAAGGTGAGCATGCTGAAGGTGAGCTTGCTGAAGGTGAGCTTGCTGAAGGTGAGCAAGCTGAAGGTGAGCTTGCTGAAGGTGAGCTTGCTGAAGGTGAGCATGCTGAAGGTGAGCAAGCTGAAGGTGAGCGAGCTGAAGGTGAGCATGCTGAAGGTGAGCATGCTGAAGGTGAGCTTGCTGAAGGTGAGCATGCTGAAGGTGAGCATGCTGAAGGTGAGCTTGCTGAAGGTGCTCATGCTGAAGGTGAGCATGCTGAGGGTGAGCATGCTGAGGGTGAGCATGCTGAAGGTGAGCTTGCTGAAGGTGAGCTTGCTGAAGGTGAGCATGCTGAAGGTGAGCACGCTGAAGGTGCTCATGCTGAAGGTGAGCATGCTGAGGGTGAGCATGCTGAGGGTGAGCATGCTGAAGGTGAGCTTGCTGAAGGTGAGCATGCTGAAGGTGAGCATGCTGAAGGTGAGCATGCTGAGGGTGAGCATGCTGAGGGTGAGCATGCTGAAGGTGAGCTTGCTGAAGGTGAGCATGCTGAAGGTGAGCATGCTGAAGGTGAGTTTGCTGAAGGTGAGCTTGCTGAAGGTGAGCAAGCTGAAGGTGAGCTTGCTGAAGGTGAGCAAGCTGAAGGTGAGCATGCTGAAGGTGAGCATGCTGAAGGTGAGCATGCTGAAGGTGCTCATGCTGAAGGTGAGCTTGCTGAAGGTGAGCTTGCTGAAGGTGAGCATGCTGAAGGTGAGCATGCTGAAGGTGAGCTTGCTGAAGGTGAGCATGCTGAAGGTGAGCACGCTGAAGGTGCTCATGCTGAAGGTGAGCATGCTGAGGGTGAGCATGCTGAGGGTGAGCATGCTGAAGGTGAGCATGCTGAAGGTGAGCATGCTGAAGGTGAGCTTGCTGAAGGTGAGCTTGCTGAAGGTGAGCAAGCTGAAGGTGAGCTTGCTGAAGGTGAGCTTGCTGAAGGTGAGCATGCTGAAGGTGAGCAAGCTGAAGGTGAGCGAGCTGAAGGTGAGCATGCTGAAGGTGAGTTTGCTGAAGGTGAGCTTGCTGAAGGTGAGCATGCTGAATGTGAGCTTGCTGAAGGTGAGCATGCTGAAGGTGAGCATGCTGAAGGTGAGCTTGCTGAAGGTGCTCATGCTGAAGGTGAGCATGCTGAGGGTGAGCATGCTGAGGGTAAGCATGCTGAAGGTGAGCTTGCTGAAGGTGAGCTTGCTGAAGGTGAGCATGCTGAAGGTGAGCACGCTGAAGGTGCTCATGCTGAAGGTGAGCATGCTGAGGGTGAGCATGCTGAAGGTGAGCTTGCTGAAGGTGAGCATGCTGAAGGTGAGCATGCTGAAGGTGAGCTTGCTGAAGGTGCTCATGCTGAAGGTGAGCATGCTGAGGGTGAGCATGCTGAGGGTGAGCATGCTGAAGGTGAGCATGCTGAAGGTGAGCATGCTGAAGGTGAGCTTGCTGAAGGTGAGCTTGCTGAAGGTGAGCAAGCTGAAGGTGAGCTTGCTGAAGGTGAGCTTGCTGAAGGTGAGCATGCTGAAGGTGAGCAAGCTGAAGGTGAGCGAGCTGAAGGTGAGCATGCTGAAGGTGAGCTTGCTGAAGGTGAGCTTGCTGAAGGTGAGCATGCTGAAGGTGAGCTTGCTGAAGGTGAGCATGCTGAAGGTGAGCATGCTGAAGGTGAGCTTGCTGAAGGTGAGCATGCTGAAGGTGAGCACGCTGAAGGTGCTCATGCTGAAGGTGAGCATGCTGAGGGTGAGCATGCTGAGGGTGAGCATGCTGAAGGTGAGCTTGCTGAAGGTGAGCATGCTGAAGGTGAGCATGCTGAAGGTGAGCTTGCTGAAGGTGGGCAAGCTGAAGGTGAGCTTGCTGAAGGTGGGCAAGCTGAAGGTGAGCTTGCTGAAGGTGAGCTTGCTGAAGGTGAGCAAGCTGAAGGTGAGCTTGCTGAAGGTGAACTTGCTGAAGGTGAACTTCCTGAAGGTGAACTTGCTGAATGTGAACTTGCTGAAGGTGAGCTTGCTGAAGGTGAGCATGCTCAAGGTGAGCATGCTGAAGGTGAGCATGCTGAAGGTGAGCTTGCTGAAGGTGAGCATGCTGAAGGTGAGCTTGCTGAAGGTGAGCATGCTGAAGGTGAGCATGCTGAAGGTGCTCATGCTGAAGGTGAGCATGGTGAGGGTGAGCATGCTGAGGGTGAGCATGCTGAAGGTGAGCATGCTGAAGGTGAGCATGCTGAAGGTGAGCTTGCTGAAGGTGAGCAAGCTGAAGGTGAGCTTGCTGAAGGTGAGCTTGCTGAAGGTGAGCAAGCTGAAGGTGAGCTTGCTGAAGGTGAACTTGCTGAAGGTGAACTTCCTGAAGGTGAACTTGCTGAAGGTGAACTTGCTGAAGGTGAGCTTGCTGAAGGTGAGCTTGCTGAAGGTGAGCTTGCTGAAGGTGAGCTTGCTGAAGGTGAGCATGCTGAAGGTGAACTTGCTGAAGGTGAGCTTGCTGAAGGTGAGCTTGCTGAAGGTGAGCTTGCTGAAGGTGAGCTTGCTGAAGGTGAGCTTGCTGAAGGTGAGCTTGCTGAAGGTGAGCTTGCTGAAGGTGAGCTTGCTGAAGGTGAGCTTGCTGAAGGTGAGCTTGCTGAAGGTGAGCTTGCTGAAGGTGAGCTTGCTGAAGGTGAGCAAGCTGAAGGTGAGCATGCTGAAGGTGAACTTGCTGAAGGTGAGCTTGCTGAAGGTGAGCTTGCTGAAGGTGAGCTTGCTGAAGGTGAGCTTGCTGAAGGTGAGCTTGCTGAAGGTGAGCTTGCTGAAGGTGAGCTTGCTGAAGGTGAGCTTGCTGAAGGTGAGCTTGCTGAGGGTGAGCAAGCTGAAGGTGAACATACATTCCAGCACTTTGGAATCTACTTCCCCCTCTCTCCTCTTCACTCCTCCCCTCGGCCAACATTAATGTGCTTCTAGTTGCTCCGAGTTTGGGAAGATTGCTCTAAAATGGTTCCGTGCCATGCGTCTCCCCTTCAAGTTTCCCATGCTATGAATGGTTTGTTGGTCCAATGCTTTCTGTGCACCTCCTTGTGGTCACTGCACCTCCTTGTGCTCACTGCACCTCCTTGTGCTCACTGCACCTCCTTGTGTTCACTGCACCTCCTTGTGCTCACTGCACCTCCTTGTGCTCACTGCACCTCCTTGTGCTCACTGCACCTCCTTGTGCTCACTGCACCTCCTTGTGCTCACTGCACCTCCTTGTGGTCACTGCACCTCCTTGTGCTCACTGCACCTCCTTGTGCTCACTGCACCTCCTTGTGCTCACTGCACCTCCTTGTGCTCACTGCACCTCCTTGTGCTCACTGCACCTCCTTGTGCTCACTGCACCTCCTTGTGCTCACTGCACCTCCTTGTGCTCACTGCACCTCCTTGTGCTCACTGCACCTCCTTGTGCTCACTGCACCTCCTTGTGCTCACTGCACCTCCTTGTGCTCACTGCACCTCCTTGTGCTCACTGCACCTCCTTGTGCTCACTGCACCTCCTTGTGCTCACTGCACCTCCTTGTGCTCACTGCACCTCCTTGTGCTCACTGCACCTGCTTGTGCTCACTGCACCTCCTTGTGCTCACTGCACCTCCTTGTGCTCACTGCACCTCCTTGTGCTCACTGCACCTCCTTGTGCTCACTGCACCTCCTTGTGCTCACTGCACCTCCTTGTGCTCACTGCACCTCCTTTTGCTCACTGCACCTCCTTGTGCTCACTGCACCTCCTTGTGCTCACTGCACCTCCTTGTGCTCACTGCACCTCCTTGTGCTCACTGCACCTCCTTGTGGTCTGCTTCCTATTTGGGAATCACTTTTGAGAATTCTCAAAAGTCACTGCACCTCCTTGTGGTCGCAGTGCGCAGGGAGGGATGTTGTTAAAAGAGGATTATGTGAGGTGGGCAGCCATGGATGTTGAGTGGTTTTTTGTGCATCCTCCTTGCCCTCACCGCGTGCTTGCAGTGCGAAGGCATGGAGAGCCCTTTGATCCGTTCGATTGGTGCAACATATGAGCGGCTCACATGTCACACTCAGTACAGCCTTCTGGCCTTCTGATTTGTTGCATGGGCGTACCAAGTTTCCTGCTGCACTTGAAAATTCATGGACTGCATTGGATTACCAGAATTGAACCCGGCGTGTTGCTGGACTCGCGAAAGTAGGAGCGGGATGAGTGAATTTCATAAATGTGATCAGGATCTGACGGTACAAGTGAAAGCAGTTTTAATATAAGCAAAGCATAGATGGGTGAGAATCTTGGAGATTGAGGCTATACTTTAGAGAGTTAGGGTGCGATTGATGTTATATTATTGTTACGGGTGCAATGGAACGAAGTAGCGAGGATTGCACTAGAGTGTCAAATGAGTACAAAGTATGAGCGAATACTTATGTGCGAAAACATGCAACGGTTACGCGGTTGTCGGAGAACCTTGCTCCTCACCGCACCTGCTCTTCTTCCGACTGTCCCTCTCTCCCACATCTGCTCTTCTCCTGGTGTCTCTCTTGCTCCTCCTTTCTCCGTATTGTGCAGCCTTAGTCACCCACCCTAAAGGTTCCTCCCTGGTTTGTGCCACAGGGTGCTAGAAGCTTAAGATGACAACTTCCACTACTAAGAGAGAATAACAAACAAGAAGCATCGAGGGGTTGGACGTGAGTGACCTTACCCAACCCCAGGCTGCACATTTCCAAATGTGCGCCTCGGGGTTGGGATTGCTTGATTTCACATTTCGCCCCTCGGTGCCTTCCCCCCCCCATAATCCCAACCGCTCTTATTCTGTTCCCCCTTTCTACACCCATTCCTAACAGTTACTTCGCTACATCCTACACCTTTATCCTACTTCTATCATATAACTATTAAGTGTCCCTACGGTTACTACCTGGAGCACTCCCTAGACCAGCATCACACTGTTATTGCATATGCACTAGATGCATATGTGGTGACAGCTGTCGGAGAACCTTGCTCCTCACCGCACCTGCTCTTCTTCCTGCTGTCCCTTTCTCCCACACCTGCTCTTCCTGCTGTCTCTCTTGCTCCTCCTTTCTCCATGTTGTGCAGCCTTAGTCACCCACTGCCCCCTCCTGTGCCCGTGCTCGAGCCGCTTGAGCTCGTGTCACAGGACCAACCTGCTGAGGCTTGCTTCCTTTCACCACGGCCGTGTTGGTCTGATGCTCCTTCAGGACTGCTCCCTTCTCGCTCTCCAACACCAGTATCCCGGAGGGACGTACTTCCCTCACTCTCCACCTCTCGGTGCCCACCCCGACATCCAGGGTGTCTTGCTTTGCTCGTCTCAGGTACACCTCCTGTCCCTGACTCACTCCCTTCCTTGCCCTCTCTCCCGCCCCTTGCTGCTGCCGCTGCTCATAGCGCCTGGCATCTCTCAACTGTGCGGTGTGGAGGTTTTCCAACGCAGCTGGCATCATAACCCGCAAGTATTTTGCCCTGGCTTCTGACAGAGCCACCCAATTGTCAATGGTACCTGCCGTCACTGTGTCTGTGAGGATCCGGGTCGCTCCCACCGGCAGCAGCGGCTCACACCCATATAGGAGACTATATGGGGAATGATCTCTCAAGGCCACCGTTTTCCGAACCTGTACCCTGCTGCAATCCAATGCAGCTCCTCGTCCCAGTCCCGCTTCCTCTTCTCCCCACATGCTCGCAATCCCCGCTTCAAGGTCTGTACCAGGCGCTCTGTCAGCCCGTCACTCTGTGGGTGGTACCGGGAGGTGCGCCTGTGGGTGATCCCTGTCTCTTCTAACAGCTTCTTGAACTCCCCTTGGAACTCGGTTCCCTGGTCCGTGAGGACCTCTGCACAAGCCCCGAATCTGGATATCACCTGCTCCTTGAACGCTGCTGCCACATGCCTTGATCTCTTGCTCGGGATAGCCCTCACCTCCAGCCACTTGCTCACGTGCTCTACCATGAGCACGATGTACTGCTTGCCCCCCCGGCTCAGCGGCAGTTCCCCCGCCAGATCTAAGGACCATCAGAAGCCTAGGTCACGGATAGGCCAGGACTGCAACTCGGCTTTGGCTTGGGTGAGGTTTGCCCTGCTCCTTTGGCATGCCTCACAGCCCTCTACCCACCCCTTGACTTGCCTCCGCATCCCTTCCCACCACCATCCCGTCTTCAACAGCTGCACCGTTATCTCGTGCCCAAAGTGTCCCAACTTCGTGTGTACCTCCTTGATCACCGCTTCCCTTTCGTTTGGCGCCGGCACTAGCTTCCACCCGTCCTCTGTCTGTACCTGCAGCTGCTGCTGGTACCACTTGTAGTGGTGTCCCCTTGCTCTTACCCGTTCCGTCAGCTCCTTGTCCTCTCCTGTCTCTCCTTTCACCCACCGCATGGCTGGTCCATCCTCCCAAATATCTGCTGGCCCCTTCTGTCCCTTGGCCCCACTCAGCTCCACCTGTCTTGCCAGCAGTGTCAAGGTTACTGTAGGCTCTGGCGGTGGGGGGTTCCGAGAGAGACCGTCCACATGCTGCAATGTCTTTCCTGGCAGCTTCATTGCCCACCGTGCATTCCTGCCCGTCAACCCCGGTGTTGTCATCAGCCAAGTCAGTGGCTGGTGATCCGTCACCAAGGTGAACTCTCTCCCCTGTAGGTACACCCTGAAGTGCCCCACAGCCCACACCGCTGCCAACCCTTCCCCTATGTAAGAGCTGTACTGTGCCTCTGCCGAGTTACAACTCCTACTCACATATGCCACCACTTTCTCCTCTCCTTCCACCTCTTGGCAGAGAATCCCTCCCATCCCTTGGCTGCTCCAGTTGGTGTAGAGCGTGAACGGGTGATCTGCTGCGGGCAGCTTGAGCACTGTTGCTGTCTTCACCGCTGTCATTAGATCTGCAGCGCCCCCTTCTGTGCTTCTCCCCACTCCCACGCCTTGTCCTCCCGCAGTAACCCATTCAGTACCGCCGCTCTCTTGCTGAAGTTAGGCACAAACCGCCTGTAGTAGCTTAGGAAGCCCAGCACCGCTCTCAGTCCTGACTTGTCCTTAGGCTCCCTCAGCCTGTCCAGGACCTCCACCTTGGCCTGTTGGATCCCGATCTGCCCCCCTTTCACCTCATACCCCAGGTATTGCACTGTCTGCTCCCCCCATCTGCATTTATTTGGGTGGCAGGTCAGCCTTGCCGCCTCTATCGCTGCCAGTATCCTCTCCACATCCTGCAGGTGCTGCTGCTCTGTCGTGCTGAAGATCACCACGTCATCAATGTAGCAAGCCGTACACTCCACTTCCCGCAGCACGCTGTCCATGACCCTCTGGAACACGGCTGAGGCATTCCTCAACCCAAATGGCATGTACAACCATTCATACAGCCTGTCCTGCCCGTGAAAGGCCGTCTTCTTGAAATCTTCTTCTCTAATCTTGATCTGGTTGAACCCTTGCCTTAGGTCCAGCGTCGGGAAGAACGTTCCCTCTGCTAGCTTGTCAAAGATCTCTTCCGCCATTGGCATCGGGTACCTGTCCACTATGGTGATTTTATTCAGTGCCCTATAGTCCCTGCACATCCTTCTGCTCAGCACCTCCCCTGTCAGGTCCCGCCTGGCTGCCACCACCATCGGTGTGGCGTACTCCGACTCTGACCTCCTGATCAGTCCCGCTTCCAGCAGCTCCTTGATCTTCTCCTTGCATATTTCTTCATCCCCTTGCGGCATCTTCCTCCTGCGGTGAAACACGGGCTCCGTGCTGCTCAGTTTCAGCTCCATCTCCTTCACCTTGCATCTCCCTAGTTCCTGCATGGTGAAGGCGAAGCATTTCCTGTGCCTGGCCAACAGCTGTTGCATGGCCTCCTTCCCCTCCTCATTCATTGCTTCTCCCACCTCCCATTTTTCCTCCTCTTTCTTCTGGCAGCTCCATGCCTCACGCGGGACTGCCTGCACCCCTCCCTTCTCTTCCTCTTGCCTCCAGCTCACGACCGTCTCCTGCCACATCCGCTAGATCAGCCACCTCAGCACGTGGCCGTCCATTGCATTCCCTAAAGCCCTCCTTCGGTCCGCCTCACTTGCCCCTGGTGCTGCTGTTGCGTCTTCTCCATACCCCATGGCCAGCTTCCAGGGCAGTGGGTTTCTCCCACCTCCACCTCCTGTGATTATACACCATTCCCGGCCCGGGTTTTCCTGCTTCCCACTTGTATCCAGCCGCCCCCGCATACGCCACCAGGGTGGGCAGAGCTCTCTCTCCTGCATTACTCGGTTGCAGGGATAATGCCTGCTGTAACTCTTCCGACACATTGGTGCTGGGGTCCGACCTGGCTCTAGTATGTCCTGCACTTTTCTTTCCGCTGCTCGCTGCACCCCATCCATCTCTTCTTGCAGCTTCGGGGCAGGGACCACATTCTGCCAGTACATCCTGAGCCGGTGTGCGTAAGACCCTGCTCTGGCCGCATCACAGCTCACCCCTCCCCCTAGCTGCCCCCTGATTCTTTCTCTTACTAATCGGATCGGCTCTCTGCTGTCCCCCTCCAGGTCCAGGTTCTCTAGCAAGTACGCAACCCTGCCTTGCCTCTCCTGCAGCCATTCCATGATGCGGAACAAGTCCTTCATCAACCTTGTTCTGGGATCTCCTCCTCCCCTTCCTTTGCCTGCCCAAGACACCCCTTGGCACTCCCACCCCGCCACTAGTAGATCTACCCGCCCCCAGCTCGCCATCTCTGCCTCTCCGATCTCCTGCACGTCATGGATGGTTCCACCCATGGCTTCTTGAACCACCTTCCTGCTCAGTAGCTCTGGGAATTCTGCTTGCAGCTTCCATGCATGGTGCTCCGCCATCCTCCTCACCGTCAGCTCCTTCTCTACGTAGGTCCACTTCCTCACCGCTATTCCACTACTTACCACAGCTGACAGCCCTGCCCCTATCCCTCCAAACAGCTCTACCAGGTGGATGGGTTGCTGCCAATCACTCTGTCGCCTGGGCTCGTCCATCCACTTCATCCTGGGTCCTGCTTCTGACACCGCTGTCCCTCCCTGCTCCTCTGTCTGCTGCTCCCCCGGCAGCCGCTCCCCCGTGGCTTGGTAGGCTCTCTTGGGTTCCACCTTCACAAATCGCACCGGCAGATCTCCCAAAGGCCCCTCTTTCTTCCAGTACCGCGTTCTAAACTCGACCTTCTCAGTCCAGGTACATATGGTCATCCCTACCGCGAACACCAGCTCGGTGCCCACCAATACATCAAAGTCCTCCGACTCTGAAATCCCACACTGCATGCGGATCTTGGTCTCGTGTTCCCCCCCCCGGCAGCAGAGTTACTTCTATGGGTGTTCGGGTATACGGCATCCATTTTGGCTCCCCCCCTTCCGCCGTCATCACCAGCATTCCCTTTGCCACGTGCCTTTCTGGCGCCAGCAACCCCAGCTTCTCAGCCATCCCCTTGCCCAGCATCACACTCTGTGCTCCTGTGTCTATGATAGCAGTCTTCACCTTCTCTCCCTCCACCTCCATTGCTCCGGTTTCTAGTAGCAGCACCGAGGTCTGGCACGCCAGCCTTTCTTGCGGATGGCGTGCTGGTGCTCGCGCCAGGGCTGGCTCGACCGGCTTTTCTCCCTTCTCCTGTTCCTTCCTTCCTTGCTCTCGCCTGCAATCCTTCCCTCCGCTCCTCAGCCCCATCTCTTCTCTTCCTCTCCATGCCATGAGGGCACACTGCACGTCCTGCTCCATCTCTCCGTCCTCGTCTCTAGCATACATTCCTGCCTCGGCTTCCCCTCTTGGCCCTGTTTCCCTCAGCTGTGCCTTTAGCCTGCTGATTTGCCGTTGCAGCTCCTCTGGATTTCTCCTCGTTCCTCCCTCCCTCTGGGATGCTGGGGTATGCACATGTTATCAGCAGGAACCATCTGTGTGGCTGCTGGCTTCAGCCACGCCCATGATCCCTGGGGGATGCCAAATTCTTACTGTACTGTCTTCCCGGCCCTTCCAGGCATGGGGTGTAAGGCTGGCAGGAAGGGGTAGAAAGAATGCACTTCATCTGGTTCTTTTGACCACGTAACGACATCATTCTTGTGAAGCTTAGACCTTTTGAATTGCCTTTCCTGTGCTATCAGGAAATGCCTTTCCACGGTTCCCCTGAGGCTACTTGATCTGTTAGAAGAGACTCCAATACAGGCACTTGTGCTTTCTGTGCACAGAAGCGCTTACTTGCTGCCCGCCAGCAACCCCACCCCAGCCTTGTCATTCTATAAGGGCCCTATTGTGGTCTATTAGGGCCCCTCAAAGCTGGTTCAACTTAACATTTCACCTTTTAGCCTTGCTGTCCTGTCCGCCAGCACACCCAACCTTGTCTTTCTTCCATTCCGCCCTCCTGCCTCCTGTATTTCTCTCGCCGTGCTGTGAATGGGTGCAGCGCGGTGGGATGAGGTGCGGAGGAAGGGGTTCCACCGGCTGCTGCAGGGGTGGCTGCCTCTGCGCTCCCCCATGGATGGCTGCTCTGACTGGTGAGGCTGGGGGGTGAAAGGTTGCTCTGACTGGTGAGGCTGGGGGGTGAAAGGTTGCTCTGACTGGTGAGGCTGGGATAGTGTTTGAGTGGGTGCTGTTTTTGGTGGAGGGATGTGCTGGCACCTGAAAGGGGCATGCAAGGTGGCACCTGCCGCAAGGTTCACAAGGGCTTTCATCGCCTGCTGCGTGAGCGATTGCCGTTTCTATCTAGCATGGAAGGCCGAGGGTTCTTTGTGCAGTAGCAAGTGGTGATTTGTGGTATCGTGCGGTGCTGTGCGATGTGGCTCATTCCCTCCCCCGCTCCATGTCCCCCCTCCCATTCCCCCTGTCCCCCACTCGTCTCCATGCACAGCTTTGTGAGCAGCCCCTTTGGGCCCAGATGGGGTTCCTTTCATCGGGTGAGTGCTGCGCCTCATTCCCTCAACATAAGGGCGGGCAGATAGCTGCACCTGCATTCTCTGATCTGCGCCTCGTTCCCTGCCGCTCGTCTTCTTCCCACCTTTCTTCCCGTTCCCGCCTGTTGCTCTCTCGCCTCGCCATCACTGACTCGACTCAGCAGCACCCAACGAGGCACTCAGAATGCACCTCGAAGCTCACTCAGTAACGCCCAAGCAGGCATTCACTCAACCATGCCCTCGGCACCTGGCAGCAATCTCTTCTTCCCATATGCTGGCAGCAATCTCTTCTTCCCATATGCTGGCAGCAATCTCTTCTTCCCATATGCTGGCAGCAATCTCTTCTTCCCATATGCTGGCAGCAATCTCTTCTTCCCATATGCTGGCAGCAATCTCTTCTTCCCATATGCTGGCAGCAATCTCTTCTTCCCATATGCTGGCAGCAATCTCTTCTTCCCATATGCTGGCAGCAATCTCTTCTTCCCATATGCTGGCAGCAATCTCTTCTTCCCATATGCTGGCAGCAATCTCTTCTTCCCATATGCTGGCAGCAATCTCTTCTTCCCATATGCTGGCAGCAATCTCTTCTTCCCATATGCTGGCAGCAATCTCTTCTTCCCATATGCTGGCAGCAATCTCTTCTTCCCATATGCTGGCAGCAATCTCTTCTTCCCATATGCTGGCAGCAATCTCTTCTTCCCATATGCTGGCAGCAATCTCTTCTTCCCATATGCTGGCAGCAATCTCTTCTTCCCATATGCTGGCAGCAATCTCTTCTTCCCATATGCTGGCACGGGTGCATTACGACTCATCTCTTCTCCCACCGCTCTCTCCTCTCCCCCCCATCCTCGCAGCAGAGCAGGCGAACCACTTCTTACTCCTTCCTCTCTCTCCCCCCTCCTCTCGCCCCTACCCCCCCTCTCCCTCCCCTCGCTCCTCCTTTCTTAGGGCGTTGACGTGGCGGCAGAAGAGGGCGAGCCAATCAGAGCTGCTCGCAGTGGTGTTGTGGCTCATGTGGGAGAGATGGATGTGTGAGTGGCTTGAGGGGGAGGGATGGGCATGTGGGTGGCGCATGGGGGGGAGATGGATGTGTGAGTGGCGCATGGGGGGGGATGGGCATCTATGGGTGTGTGGGTGTATGGGTGGGGGGTCGTATGGATGTGCATAATGCTGGGAAACGTATGTGATCTGTGCTGCCCAGTGGCAGCGGCAGTGGCAGTGGCAGTGGCAGTGGCAGTGGCAGTGGCAGCGGCAGCGGCAGCGGCAGCGGCAGCGGCAGCGGCAGCGGCAGCGGCAGCGGCAGCGGCAGCGGCAGTGGCAGTGGCAGTGGCAGTGGCAGTGGCAGTTACCATTCCTTCCCTCTCTCTCCGTTACCTAAACCCTTCCTTCCCTCTCTCTCCGTTACCTAAACCCTTCCTTCCCTCTCTCTCCGTTACCTAAACCCTTCCTTCCCTCTCTCTCCGTTACCTAAACCCTTCCTTCCCTCTCTCTCCGTTACCGAAACCCTTCCTTCCCTCTCTCTCCGTTACCTAAACCCTTCCTTCCCTCTCTCTCCGTTACCTAAACCCTTCCTTCCCTCTCTCTCCGTTACCTAAACCCTTCCTTCCCTCTCTCTCCGTTACCTAAACCCTTCCTTCCCTATCTCTCCGTTACCTAAACCCTTCCTTCCCTCTCTCTCCGTTACCTAAACCCTTCCTTCCCTCTCTCTCCGTTACCTAAACCCTTCCTTCCCTCTCTCTCCGTTACCTAAACCCTTCCTTCCCTCTCTCTCCGTTACCTAAACCCTTCCTTCCCTCTCTCTCCGTTACCTAAACCCTTCCTTCCCTCTCTCTCCGTTACCATTATGCCTCGCTCCTCCGTCTCTTCACCCCTCTTGACTCACCGTTGAAGCTCTTGTCACTCACGTTCGCCTCAATGGCAAACTCTGGTAGAGTTGCATTTGGGAATTCTCAAAGGCAACACCAACATAACTCCCTTCCCTCTCAGCTCTTGTCTCACCCCTCTTGACTCACCGTTGAAGCTCTTGTCACTCACGTTCGCCTCAAGGAAAACTCTCCAAAATCTGCTCTCGTTTGCTTCTCCTCCCCCCCCCCCGCACCCCCTCCTCCACCTCACAACAGGTACGGCAATCTGGTCCCTCTGACGCACGAGGCAGGCTTCACCGCCCACTACTCACAGTTCCTGAACGTCTCAACACTCTTCCAACTGCCTCTCCCCTCCTTCCCCCCCCTTCCCCACTTCACATCAGGTATGGCAATCTGGTCACACTAGCGCATGAGGCAGGATTCACCACGCACTACGCACACTGCTCCAAGATGGTCGTGCAAGCCGGGCAGGTGGGTCGCTCTCTACACATGATCGGGTGATCTGTTGGGTGGAGCGTTGTGTCAGATGCTCGTAATTCGTGCCACAAGGCATGCTTTCCACTTGCAAGTCCAAGTGCATGCGTTCCTGGTCAGGTGTCTGTGAGGCTGGGCTAGGGGAACCTACCGAAGCCACTCACCTCAACTCTAATTCCGCCTCCCCGTTGACTTTACCCGATTTATCAGAGGATGGGAGAGGCAGATGGCTGCACCGGTGGGCAACACTCGCAGTTCCGCTCTGATCTGATCTTATGCCCGTTCATTCAGACTCTATTCCTGCCTCCCCACTCGCCTGCCTTCACTCCACGCCCCTCTCCCACTCCCTGTACTCTTCATTTTCACCAGAGGGTGCGAACAGGGCAGGTGGTGGCGCTGGTGGGCAACACTTGCAAGTCCGTGGCATCGAATCACACACCCTTTCTTCCCCCCCTACCCACCCGCCTCCATCCTCCTCCCCCGTGCACTTCTCATTTCCACTCGTCACTTCACCCCAGCAGAGGGTGCGAGCAGGGCAGGTGGTGGCGCTGGTGGGCAACACTGGGCGGTCCATGGGGCCGCATTTACACTTTGAAGGTGAGCTTGCTGAAGGTGAGCATGCTGAAGGTGAGCATGCTGAAGGTGAGCATGCTGAGGGTGAGCATGCTGAGGGTGAGCATGCTGAAGGTGAGCTTGCTGAAGGTGAGCATGCTGAAGGTGAGCATGCTGAAGGTGAGTTTGCTGAAGGTGAGCTTGCTGAAGGTGAGCAAGCTGAAGGTGAGCATGCTGAAGGTGAGCTTGCTGAAGGTGAGCATGCTGAAGGTGAGCATGCTGAAGGTGAGCATGCTGAGGGTGAGCATGCTGAGGGTGAGCATGCTGAGGGTGAGCATGCTGAAGGTGAGCATGCTGAAGGTGAGCATGCTGAAGGTGAGCTTGCTGAAGGTGAGCTTGCTGAAGGTGAGCAAGCTGAAGGTGAGCTTGCTGAAGGTGAGCTTGCTGAAGGTGAGCATGCTGAAGGTGAGCAAGCTGAAGGTGAGCGAGCTGAAGGTGAGCATGCTGAAGGTGAGTTTGCTGAAGGTGAGCTTGCTGAAGGTGAGCATGCTGAAGGTGAGCTTGCTGAAGGTGAGCATGCTGAAGGTGAGCATGCTGAAGGTGAGCTTGCTGAAGGTGCTCATGCTGAAGGTGAGCATGCTGAGGGTGAGCATGCTGAGGGTAAGCATGCTGAAGGTGAGCTTGCTGAAGGTGAGCTTGCTGAAGGTGAGCATGCTGAAGGTGAGCACGCTGAAGGTGCTCATGCTGAAGGTGAGCATGCTGAGGGTGAGCATGCTGAGGGTGAGCTTGCTGAAGGTGAGCTTGCTGAAGGTGAGCATGCTGAAGGTGAGCATGCTGAAGGTGAGCTTGCTGAAGGTGCTCATGCTGAAGGTGAGCATGCTGAGGGTGAGCATGCTGAGGGTGAGCATGCTGAAGGTGAGCATGCTGAAGGTGAGCATGCTGAAGGTGAGCTTGCTGAAGGTGAGCTTGCTGAAGGTGAGCAAGCTGAAGGTGAGCTTGCTGAAGGTGAGCTTGCTGAAGGTGAGCATGCTGAAGGTGAGCAAGCTGAAGGTGAGCGAGCTGAAGGTGAGCATGCTGAAGGTGAGCATGCTGAAGGTGAGCTTGCTGAAGGTGAGCATGCTGAAGGTGAGCATGCTGAAGGTGAGCTTGCTGAAGGTGCTCATGCTGAAGGTGAGCATGCTGAGGGTGAGCATGCTGAGGGTGAGCATGCTGAAGGTGAGCTTGCTGAAGGTGAGCTTGCTGAAGGTGAGCATGCTGAAGGTGAGCACGCTGAAGGTGCTCATGCTGAAGGTGAGCATGCTGAGGGTGAGCATGCTGAGGGTGAGCATGCTGAAGGTGAGCATGCTGAAGGTGAGCATGCTGAGGGTGAGCATGCTGAGGGTGAGCATGCTGAAGGTGAGCTTGCTGAAGGTGAGCATGCTGAAGGTGAGCATGCTGAAGGTGAGTTTGCTGAAGGTGAGCTTGCTGAAGGTGAGCAAGCTGAAGGTGAGCTTGCTGAAGGTGAGCAAGCTGAAGGTGAGCATGCTGAAGGTGAGCATGCTGAAGGTGAGCATGCTGAAGGTGCTCATGCTGAAGGTGAGCTTGCTGAAGGTGAGCTTGCTGAAGGTGAGCATGCTGAAGGTGAGCATGCTGAAGGTGAGCATGCTGAGGGTGAGCATGCTGAGGGTGAGCATGCTGAAGGTGAGCTTGCTGAAGGTGAGCATGCTGAAGGTGAGCATGCTGAAGGTGAGTTTGCTGAAGGTGAGCTTGCTGAAGGTGAGCAAGCTGAAGGTGAGCTTGCTGAAGGTGAGCAAGCTGAAGGTGAGCATGCTGAAGGTGAGCATGCTGAAGGTGAGCATGCTGAAGGTGCTCATGCTGAAGGTGAGCTTGCTGAAGGTGAGCTTGCTGAAGGTGAGCATGCTGAAGGTGAGCATGCTGAAGGTGAGCTTGCTGAAGGTGAGCATGCTGAAGGTGAGCACGCTGAAGGTGCTCATGCTGAAGGTGAGCATGCTGAGGGTGAGCATGCTGAGGGTGAGCATGCTGAAGGTGAGCATGCTGAAGGTGAGCATGCTGAAGGTGAGCTTGCTGAAGGTGAGCTTGCTGAAGGTGAGCAAGCTGAAGGTGAGCTTGCTGAAGGTGAGCTTGCTGAAGGTGAGCATGCTGAAGGTGAGCAAGCTGAAGGTGAGCGAGCTGAAGGTGAGCATGCTGAAGGTGAGTTTGCTGAAGGTGAGCTTGCTGAAGGTGAGCATGCTGAATGTGAGCTTGCTGAAGGTGAGCATGCTGAAGGTGAGCATGCTGAAGGTGAGCTTGCTGAAGGTGCTCATGCTGAAGGTGAGCATGCTGAGGGTGAGCATGCTGAGGGTAAGCATGCTGAAGGTGAGCTTGCTGAAGGTGAGCTTGCTGAAGGTGAGCATGCTGAAGGTGAGCACGCTGAAGGTGCTCATGCTGAAGGTGAGCATGCTGAGGGTGAGCATGCTGAGGGTGAGCATGCTGAAGGTGAGCTTGCTGAAGGTGAGCATGCTGAAGGTGAGCATGCTGAAGGTGAGCTTGCTGAAGGTGCTCATGCTGAAGGTGAGCATGCTGAGGGTGAGCATGCTGAGGGTGAGCATGCTGAAGGTGAGCATGCTGAAGGTGAGCATGCTGAAGGTGAGCTTGCTGAAGGTGAGCTTGCTGAAGGTGAGCAAGCTGAAGGTGAGCTTGCTGAAGGTGAGCTTGCTGAAGGTGAGCATGCTGAAGGTGAGCAAGCTGAAGGTGAGCGAGCTGAAGGTGAGCATGCTGAAGGTGAGCTTGCTGAAGGTGAGCTTGCTGAAGGTGAGCATGCTGAAGGTGAGCTTGCTGAAGGTGAGCATGCTGAAGGTGAGCATGCTGAAGGTGAGCTTGCTGAAGGTGAGCATGCTGAAGGTGAGCACGCTGAAGGTGCTCATGCTGAAGGTGAGCATGCTGAGGGTGAGCATGCTGAGGGTGAGCATGCTGAAGGTGAGCTTGCTGAAGGTGAGCATGCTGAAGGTGAGCATGCTGAAGGTGAGCTTGCTGAAGGTGGGCAAGCTGAAGGTGAGCTTGCTGAAGGTGAGCAAGCTGAAGGTGAGCTTGCTGAAGGTGAGCTTGCTGAAGGTGAGCAAGCTGAAGGTGAGCTTGCTGAAGGTGAACTTGCTGAAGGTGAACTTCCTGAAGGTGAACTTGCTGAAGGTGAACTTGCTGAAGGTGAGCTTGCTGAAGGTGAGCATGCTCAAGGTGAGCATGCTGAAGGTGAGCATGCTGAAGGTGAGCTTGCTGAAGGTGAGCATGCTGAAGGTGAGCATGCTGAAGGTGCTCATGCTGAAGGTGAGCATGGTGAGGGTGAGCATGCTGAGGGTGAGCATGCTGAAGGTGAGCATGCTGAAGGTGAGCATGCTGAAGGTGAGCTTGCTGAAGGTGAGCAAGCTGAAGGTGAGCTTGCTGAAGGTGAGCTTGCTGAAGGTGAGCAAGCTGAAGGTGAGCTTGCTGAAGGTGAACTTGCTGAAGGTGAACTTCCTGAAGGTGAACTTGCTGAAGGTGAACTTGCTGAAGGTGAGCTTGCTGAAGGTGAGCTTGCTGAAGGTGAGCTTGCTGAAGGTGAGCTTGCTGAAGGTGAGCATGCTGAAGGTGAACTTGCTGAAGGTGAGCTTGCTGAAGGTGAGCTTGCTGAAGGTGAGCTTGCTGAAGGTGAGCTTGCTGAAGGTGAGCTTGCTGAAGGTGAGCTTGCTGAAGGTGAGCTTGCTGAAGGTGAGCTTGCTGAAGGTGAGCTTGCTGAAGGTGAGCTTGCTGAAGGTGAGCTTGCTGAAGGTGAGCTTGCTGAAGGTGAGCAAGCTGAAGGTGAGCATGCTGAAGGTGAACTTGCTGAAGGTGAGCTTGCTGAAGGTGAGCTTGCTGAAGGTGAGCTTGCTGAAGGTGAGCTTGCTGAAGGTGAGCTTGCTGAAGGTGAGCTTGCTGAAGGTGAGCTTGCTGAAGGTGAGCTTGCTGAAGGTGAGCTTGCTGAGGGTGAGCAAGCTGAAGGTGAACATACATTCCAGCACTTTGGAATCTACTTCCCCCTCTCTCCTCTTCACTCCTCCCCTCGGCCAACATTAATGTGCTTCTAGTTGCTCCGAGTTTGGGAAGATTGCTCTAAAATGGTTCCGTGCCATGCGTCTCCCCTTCAAGTTTCCCATGCTATGAATGGTTTGTTGGTCCAATGCTTTCTGTGCACCTCCTTGTGGTCACTGCACCTCCTTGTGCTCACTGCACCTCCTTGTGCTCACTGCACCTCCTTGTGTTCACTGCACCTCCTTGTGCTCACTGCACCTCCTTGTGCTCACTGCACCTCCTTGTGCTCACTGCACCTCCTTGTGCTCACTGCACCTCCTTGTGCTCACTGCACCTCCTTGTGGTCACCTCCTTGTGCTCACTGCACCTCCTTGTGCTCACTGCACCTCCTTGTGCTCACTGCACCTCCTTGTGCTCACTGCACCTCCTTGTGCTCACTGCACCTCCTTGTGCTCACTGCACCTCCTTGTGCTCACTGCACCTCCTTGTGCTCACTGCACCTCCTTGTGCTCACTGCACCTCCTTGTGCTCACTGCACCTCCTTGTGCTCACTGCACCTCCTTGTGCTCACTGCACCTCCTTGTGCTCACTGCACCTCCTTGTGCTCACTGCACCTCCTTGTGCTCACTGCACCTCCTTGTGCTCACTGCACCTCCTTGTGCTCACTGCACCTCCTTGTGCTCACTGCACCTGCTTGTGCTCACTGCACCTCCTTGTGCTCACTGCACCTCCTTGTGCTCACTGCACCTCCTTGTGCTCACTGCACCTCCTTGTGCTCACTGCACCTCCTTGTGCTCACTGCACCTCCTTGTGCTCACTGCACCTCCTTTTGCTCACTGCACCTCCTTGTGCTCACTGCACCTCCTTGTGCTCACTGCACCTCCTTGTGCTCACTGCACCTCCTTGTGCTCACTGCACCTCCTTGTGGTCTGCTTCCTATTTGGGAATCACTTTTGAGAATTCTCAAAAGTCACTGCACCTCCTTGTGGTCGCAGTGCGCAGGGAGGGATGTTGTTAAAAGAGGATTATGTGAGGTGGGCAGCCATGGATGTTGAGTGGTTTTTTGTGCATCCTCCTTGCCCTCACCGCGTGCTTGCAGTGCGAAGGCATGGAGAGCCCTTTGATCCGTTCGATTGGTGCAACATATGAGCGGCTCACATGTCACACTCAGTACAGCCTTCTGGCCTTCTGATTTGTTGCATGGGCGTACCAAGTTTCCTGCTGCACTTGAAAATTCATGGACTGCATTGGATTACCAGAATTGAACCCGGCGTGTTGCTGGACTCGCGAAAGTAGGAGCGGGATGAGTGAATTTCATAAATGTGATCAGGATCTGACGGTACAAGTGAAAGCAGTTTTAATATAAGCAAAGCATAGATGGGTGAGAATCTTGGAGATTGAGGCTATACTTTAGAGAGTTAGGGTGCGATTGATGTTATATTATTGTTACGGGTGCAATGGAACGAAGTAGCGAGGATTGCACTAGAGTGTCAAATGAGTACAAAGTATGAGCGAATACTTATGTGCGAAAACATGCAACGGTTACGCGGTTGTCGGAGAACCTTGCTCCTCACCGCACCTGCTCTTCTTCCGACTGTCCCTCTCTCCCACATCTGCTCTTCTCCTGGTGTCTCTCTTGCTCCTCCTTTCTCCGTATTGTGCAGCCTTAGTCACCCGCCCTAAAGGTTCCTCCCTGGTTTGTGCCACAGGGTGCTAGAAGCTTAAGATGACAACTTCCACTACTAAGAGAGAATAACAAACAAGAAGCATCGAGGGGTTGGACGTAAGTGACCTTACCCAACCCCAGGCTGCACATTTCCAAATGTGCGCCTCGGGGTTGGGATTGCTTGATTTCACATTTCGCCCCTCGGTGCCTTCCCCCCCCCATAATCCCAACCGCTCTTATTCTGTTCCCCCTTTCTACACCCATTCCTAACAGTTACTTCGCTACATCCTACACCTTTATCCTACTTCTATCATATAACTATTAAGTGTCCCTACGGTTACTACCTGGAGCACTCCCTAGACCAGCATCACACTGTTATTGCATATGCACTAGATGCATATGTGGTGACAGCTGTCGGAGAACCTTGCTCCTCACCGCACCTGCTCTTCTTCCTGCTGTCCCTTTCTCCCACACCTGCTCTTCCTGCTGTCTCTCTTGCTCCTCCTTTCTCCATGTTGTGCAGCCTTAGTCACCCACTGCCCCCTCCTGTGCCCGTGCTCGAGCCGCTTGAGCTCGTGTCACAGGACCAACCTGCTGAGGCTTGCTTCCTTTCACCACGGCCGTGTTGGTCTGATGCTCCTTCAGGACTGCTCCCTTCTCGCTCTCCAACACCAGTATCCCGGAGGGACGTACTTCCCTCACTCTCCACCTCTCGGTGCCCACCCCGACATCCAGGGTGTCTTGCTTTGCTCGTCTCAGGTACACCTCCTGTCCCTGACTCACTCCCTTCCTTGCCCTCTCTCCCGCCCCTTGCTGCTGCCGCTGCTCATAGCGCCTGGCATCTCTCAACTGTGCGGTGTGGAGGTTTTCCAACGCAGCTGGCATCATAACCCGCAAGTATTTTGCCCTGGCTTCTGACAGAGCCACCCAATTGTCAATGGTACCTGCCGTCACTGTGTCTGTGAGGATCCGGGTCGCTCCCACCGGCAGCAGCGGCTCACACCCATATAGGAGACTATATGGGGAATGATCTCTCAAGGCCACCGTTTTCCGAACCTGTACCCTGCTGCAATCCAATGCAGCTCCTCGTCCCAGTCCCGCTTCCTCTTCTCCCCACATGCTCGCAATCCCCGCTTCAAGGTCTGTACCAGGCGCTCTGTCAGCCCGTCACTCTGTGGGTGGTACCGGGAGGTGCGCCTGTGGGTGATCCCTGTCTCTTCTAACAGCTTCTTGAACTCCCCTTGGAACTCGGTTCCCTGGTCCGTGAGGACCTCTGCACAAGCCCCGAATCTGGATATCACCTGCTCCTTGAACGCTGCTGCCACATGCCTTGATCTCTTGCTCGGGATAGCCCTCACCTCCAGCCACTTGCTCACGTGCTCTACCATGAGCACGATGTACTGCTTGCCCCCCCGGCTCAGCGGCAGTTCCCCCGCCAGATCTAAGGACCATCAGAAGCCTAGGTCACGGATAGGCCAGGACTGCAACTCGGCTTTGGCTTGGGTGAGGTTTGCCCTGCTCCTTTGGCATGCCTCACAGCCCTCTACCCACCCCTTGACTTGCCTCCGCATCCCTTCCCACCACCATCCCGTCTTCAACAGCTGCACCGTTATCTCGTGCCCAAAGTGTCCCAACTTCGTGTGTACCTCCTTGATCACCGCTTCCCTTTCGTTTGGCGCCGGCACTAGCTTCCACCCGTCCTCTGTCTGTACCTGCAGCTGCTGCTGGTACCACTTGTAGTGGTGTCCCCTTGCTCTTACCCGTTCCGTCAGCTCCTTGTCCTCTCCTGTCTCTCCTTTCACCCACCGCATGGCTGGTCCATCCTCCCAAATATCTGCTGGCCCCTTCTGTCCCTTGGCCCCACTCAGCTCCACCTGTCTTGCCAGCAGTGTCAAGGTTACTGTAGGCTCTGGCGGTGGGGGGTTCCGAGAGAGACCGTCCACATGCTGCAATGTCTTTCCTGGCAGCTTCATTGCCCACCGTGCATTCCTGCCCGTCAACCCCGGTGTTGTCATCAGCCAAGTCAGTGGCTGGTGATCCGTCACCAAGGTGAACTCTCTCCCCTGTAGGTACACCCTGAAGTGCCCCACAGCCCACACCGCTGCCAACCCTTCCCCTATGTAAGAGCTGTACTGTGCCTCTGCCGAGTTACAACTCCTACTCACATATGCCACCACTTTCTCCTCTCCTTCCACCTCTTGGCAGAGAATCCCTCCCATCCCTTGGCTGCTCCAGTTGGTGTAGAGCGTGAACGGGTGATCTGCTGCGGGCAGCTTGAGCACTGTTGCTGTCTTCACCGCTGTCATTAGATCTGCAGCGCCCCCTTCTGTGCTTCTCCCCACTCCCACGCCTTGTCCTCCCGCAGTAACCCATTCAGTACCGCCGCTCTCTTGCTGAAGTTAGGCACAAACCGCCTGTAGTAGCTTAGGAAGCCCAGCACCGCTCTCAGTCCTGACTTGTCCTTAGGCTCCCTCAGCCTGTCCAGGACCTCCACCTTGGCCTGTTGGATCCCGATCTGCCCCCCTTTCACCTCATACCCCAGGTATTGCACTGTCTGCTCCCCCCATCTGCATTTATTTGGGTGGCAGGTCAGCCTTGCCGCCTCTATCGCTGCCAGTATCCTCTCCACATCCTGCAGGTGCTGCTGCTCTGTCGTGCTGAAGATCACCACGTCATCAATGTAGCAAGCCGTACACTCCACTTCCCGCAGCACGCTGTCCATGACCCTCTGGAACACGGCTGAGGCATTCCTCAACCCAAATGGCATGTACAACCATTCATACAGCCTGTCCTGCCCGTGAAAGGCCGTCTTCTTGAAATCTTCTTCTCTAATCTTGATCTGGTTGAACCCTTGCCTTAGGTCCAGCGTCGGGAAGAACGTTCCCTCTGCTAGCTTGTCAAAGATCTCTTCCGCCATTGGCATCGGGTACCTGTCCACTATGGTGATTTTATTCAGTGCCCTATAGTCCCTGCACATCCTTCTGCTCAGCACCTCCCCTGTCAGGTCCCGCCTGGCTGCCACCACCATCGGTGTGGCGTACTCCGACTCTGACCTCCTGATCAGTCCCGCTTCCAGCAGCTCCTTGATCTTCTCCTTGCATATTTCTTCATCCCCTTGCGGCATCTTCCTCCTGCGGTGAAACACGGGCTCCGTGCTGCTCAGTTTCAGCTCCATCTCCTTCACCTTGCATCTCCCTAGTTCCTGCATGGTGAAGGCGAAGCATTTCCTGTGCCTGGCCAACAGCTGTTGCATGGCCTCCTTCCCCTCCTCATTCATTGCTTCTCCCACCTCCCATTTTTCCTCCTCTTTCTTCTGGCAGCTCCATGCCTCACGCGGGACTGCCTGCACCCCTCCCTTCTCTTCCTCTTGCCTCCAGCTCACGACCGTCTCCTGCCACATCCGCTAGATCAGCCACCTCAGCACGTGGCCGTCCATTGCATTCCCTAAAGCCCTCCTTCGGTCCGCCTCACTTGCCCCTGGTGCTGCTGTTGCGTCTTCTCCATACCCCATGGCCAGCTTCCAGGGCAGTGGGTTTCTCCCACCTCCACCTCCTGTGATTATACACCATTCCCGGCCCGGGTTTTCCTGCTTCCCACTTGTATCCAGCCGCCCCCGCATACGCCACCAGGGTGGGCAGAGCTCTCTCTCCTGCATTACTCGGTTGCAGGGATAATGCCTGCTGTAACTCTTCCGACACATTGGTGCTGGGGTCCGACCTGGCTCTAGTATGTCCTGCACTTTTCTTTCCGCTGCTCGCTGCACCCCATCCATCTCTTCTTGCAGCTTCGGGGCAGGGACCACATTCTGCCAGTACATCCTGAGCCGGTGTGCGTAAGACCCTGCTCTGGCCGCATCACAGCTCACCCCTCCCCCTAGCTGCCCCCTGATTCTTTCTCTTACTAATCGGATCGGCTCTCTGCTGTCCCCCTCCAGGTCCAGGTTCTCTAGCAAGTACGCAACCCTGCCTTGCCTCTCCTGCAGCCATTCCATGATGCGGAACAAGTCCTTCATCAACCTTGTTCTGGGATCTCCTCCTCCCCTTCCTTTGCCTGCCCAAGACACCCCTTGGCACTCCCACCCCGCCACTAGTAGATCTACCCGCCCCCAGCTCGCCATCTCTGCCTCTCCGATCTCCTGCACGTCATGGATGGTTCCACCCATGGCTTCTTGAACCACCTTCCTGCTCAGTAGCTCTGGGAATTCTGCTTGCAGCTTCCATGCATGGTGCTCCGCCATCCTCCTCACCGTCAGCTCCTTCTCTACGTAGGTCCACTTCCTCACCGCTATTCCACTACTTACCACAGCTGACAGCCCTGCCCCTATCCCTCCAAACAGCTCTACCAGGTGGATGGGTTGCTGCCAATCACTCTGTCGCCTGGGCTCGTCCATCCACTTCATCCTGGGTCCTGCTTCTGACACCGCTGTCCCTCCCTGCTCCTCTGTCTGCTGCTCCCCCGGCAGCCGCTCCCCCGTGGCTTGGTAGGCTCTCTTGGGTTCCACCTTCACAAATCGCACCGGCAGATCTCCCAAAGGCCCCTCTTTCTTCCAGTACCGCGTTCTAAACTCGACCTTCTCAGTCCAGGTACATATGGTCATCCCTACCGCGAACACCAGCTCGGTGCCCACCAATACATCAAAGTCCTCCGACTCTGAAATCCCACACTGCATGCGGATCTTGGTCTCGTGTTCCCCCCCCCGGCAGCAGAGTTACTTCTATGGGTGTTCGGGTATACGGCATCCATTTTGGCTCCCCCCCTTCCGCCGTCATCACCAGCATTCCCTTTGCCACGTGCCTTTCTGGCGCCAGCAACCCCAGCTTCTCAGCCATCCCCTTGCCCAGCATCACACTCTGTGCTCCTGTGTCTATGATAGCAGTCTTCACCTTCTCTCCCTCCACCTCCATTGCTCCGGTTTCTAGTAGCAGCACCGAGGTCTGGCACGCCAGCCTTTCTTGCGGATGGCGTGCTGGTGCTCGCGCCAGGGCTGGCTCGACCGGCTTTTCTCCCTTCTCCTGTTCCTTCCTTCCTTGCTCTCGCCTGCAATCCTTCCCTCCGCTCCTCAGCCCCATCTCTTCTCTTCCTCTCCATGCCATGAGGGCACACTGCACGTCCTGCTCCATCTCTCCGTCCTCGTCTCTAGCATACATTCCTGCCTCGGCTTCCCCTCTTGGCCCTGTTTCCCTCAGCTGTGCCTTTAGCCTGCTGATTTGCCGTTGCAGCTCCTCTGGATTTCTCCTCGTTCCTCCCTCCCTCTGGTAGCAGTCCTTTGCCCCGTGTCCTCGTTTCTCGCAGATCTCGCACCTGGCCGCATCTGGGCACTCCCGCTTCCGATGCCCTGGCTTCCCACAACCGTCACAATTCTTGCAGTCCCTGCGTAGATGCCCTGGCTGCCCGCACCTATGGCAAGTCCTAGTGTCAATTCCTGTCTCCCCTCGCCCGTCTGTCCTCCCTCCTCCTTCCGGTACTATTGCCGCTGCCCATGTCGGTCTGCGGCTTCTCTCTATCAGCTTGGGCAGATAGGCTTCGTACTTCCTCTGGGCGAGCTCCACCCTTTCTACCAAGTTGAACACCTCCTCCAGGCTCGCATCCGCGCCCAGCTCATACACCCTCATCCTCAGCCCCCCTCCTAAGGCCTCGTCTAGACCTTCCAGGAACTTGCTGATGAGGAGGCTGCCGTCCAAGCACCTCACATCCCCAGCCAGGTTGATCAGGCGGTTGTAATATGTCAATAGTGACTCCGCCCTCCCCCTCCTGAATTCCTGGAACTCCTTGATCCGCTCAGCCGTGTTCCCAGGAAACTGCCGCTGCAGTCGCTCTAAGAATGCCTCGGTGGGGTCTTCCCCGTATCTCCCTGCCCTCCACAGCAGCTCTTCCATCCTCATGCGGTATAGTGTCTCTGCTTCCCCTTCCAACGTGTTAGGCAGGCTCAGGAAGAAGTCCACCGGGTCCATGCCACTCCGATCACAACAGTACTTCACATTACCAACTTGCATCAAGTAGTTCTTGAGTGAATGCCCCGCCCGCTGATCGCCTGAGAACCTGGCCGGCAATTCCACCCTTGGTGCTGTGGCCGGGCCTCCTCGTCCCTCTCCCCACGTTTCACTCGCCCTTCCTGCCGATCTCCCATATGACCCTCCCCGCTTAGCTCTCTCCAAGCCCTCCCTAGCTTCTCGAGCCCGCTCCGCCCCGTACGCCAGGCTCCCGCTCTTGGTCCGACTCTCTTGATGCCTCCAGCGCCCCTCGCCTTGCTGCGTCCACCGACCATTCTCCCTCTCCCTCCGCTTCCACCGCTGCGCCGGCGAGTGGTAACTCCTCTCTCCTCCTTCTCCCCGCGTCTCGTACGCTTGGCGCCTCGCCGGGGATGGTGACCGTCCCTCCCCTCCCCTCCCTTGCCGCCGATGGCCGACAGGTGAGAATCTCGCTTCGTCCAGCCTTTCCTCGTGCACGCGGCGTCGGTCGGGCGAACGTGCCTCCTCACTCTGCCTCTTGTCCCACCGTCTCGGTTGGCGCGGAGAGCGTGACTCTCCCCTCTGTCTACCCTCCTGCTGCCCATGCGGCTCCGGGGAGCGAGGTTCCCCAAGCCGCCTTCCTCCGCGTGTCTGCTGACGATCAGCCCAGCGCCATTCCTCATCCTGCCTCTCTCCGCGCTGCTCCGTTCGCTGTTGCAGCCCTTCCGTCGTGGTGTGCGCTCGACTCCTCCTCCTCCACGTGATCCCCGCACCTGCAGTTCGCGCATGTCTTCCTCCCGGCTCTGGTGCTCCTGCTGCTGCGCGTCGCTTGCTCGATGTCCTCCCTGACGTGTGGGATCTTCCTCGCGTGACTCCTGCCCTGCCTCATCCGCTTCCTCTTCCGCCACCTCATACGAGTCGGTCGTTTCATTGGTCGGCACGGAATCTCCCTCTTCGCCTCCGTCCGGCACATCCTGGTTCTCGCCCGCCTGTTCGAGGGCGTGCTCGTGCTCCACGTCCTCGTCCTCCACTTCGTCTTTCGGCGCCGCCTTAGCCTGCGGACTTCCTCCGGATCGGATTACGCCAGAGCCTTTGCCTCGCCCACGCAGAGGATCCTCTCGTCCCTGCCAGCGATCTCGCTCATCGTGCCGTCGCCTCCCCTCTTCCGGGGAGCGGAACACCCCGCTGTTGCGGTGATGGCGATGCTCTCCTCTGGTCAGGTGGAACATATCCCGCCACCATGGCGCGCCGCTTGCCGACGCGTCGAGCCCTTCGTCGTTCCTTCCGCCGTGCGCGGAGCCTTCGTCCCGTCGGGTCGGCTCTACGGGGACCCGATCTGCGCGGAAAGCGGGCCTCCTGGGTGATCGCTCCAGGGACCGCCCGCATTCCTATGAGCGGTCATGCCGTGGCCGTTCCTCGTCCCGTCGGCTAAAGACTCTGCCCCAGTGCCATTCTACGTAGTCTCGATGCTTCTTGTTTGTTATGAATGGGATCACTCCCTCACCCCAAAGGTTCCCTCCTGGTGTGTGCCACAGGGTGCTAGAAGCTTAAGATGACAACTTCCACTACTAAGAGAGAATAACAAACAAGAAGCATCGAGGGGTTGGACGTGAGTGACCTTACCCAACCCCAGGCTGCACATTTCCAAATGTGCGCCTTGGGGTTGGGATTGCTTGATTTCACATTTCGTCCCTCGGTGCCTTTCCCCCCCATAATCCCAACCGCTCTTATTCTATTCCCCCTTTCTACACCCATTCCTAACAGTTACTTCGCTACATCCTACACCTTTATCCTACTTCTATCATATAACTATTAAGTGTCCCTACGGTTACTACCTGGAGCACTCCCTAGACAAGCATCACACTGTTATTGCATATGCACTAGATGCATATGCGGTGACACGGTGCGTGCGAGCTAGCTAGTGCTACGCTGGCATGGAGGTTCGGGCTGGTCCCGAAGCGTAGGCCGACTCGGCTGGGCCAGTAGTGCAAGGTTTGGGGAAACAGTGCGCGCGAAGTTGGCGAAGCCTCGTTAGCAAAAACGGGCGAACAATGGCTGCTGCTGTACGCGATGTTGATGGTTGCGGTAAGGAATGTCGAGAAAATTCCTTACACTACCCCCTCCCTCAAGAAGCCCCCTCCGCTACGCGAGTGCATGTATATCGCGGAAACCCCGGCTCCTCAAGTACACTTGCAGGGCAGGGTGGTTTTCAATGTTGGCCAGGGGCACCCAGCTATCCTCAGTTGGCGTGCAGTCCTTCCAGCAAACGAGGAACTCGATCCTCTTGATGCCTGTGGGGTGTCGAATCCAATGGCTCAGAATCTTTTCGGGCTCAATGATCAGCTCCGATGTAGGGCAAGTCATGGATGGCGGGCGGTGACAAGGCAGTTGGCTCGTAGTTGGGATGTAAGGGCGAAGCAGGCTGACGTGGAATGATGGGCTGATGTACCAGTCTGTCGGCAACAGTACATGGGCGGTAACTGGGGTGATCATGTGGCTGATTTGGAATGGTCCACAGTAGCACGGTCGTAATTTCGGTACGACGGGCAGTCTTAAGTTCTGTGTGTCGAGCAGTACGTAATCCCCTGACTGGTACGCGACTAGGCAGCAGTGGCGGTCAGCATTCCTTTTTTTGATGACGTTGGCTTTTTTAATTGCTTATGCGGCTCTGGTGCGGGCAACTTGCAGAATCTCGGCGAATTGCTGTGCGCGTGGCGTTGGGTTGTCCAAACTTGGCGTCATGGGCACTGTTGGGTTTTCCCTGTACTTCAGGTAAAACGGGTACTGCTGCGTCGTCGCTGACGTGGCGTTGTTGTATGCGAACTCGATCAGCAGCAACAGCTGCTCCCATGTTGTCGGGTCGTCGCACGTGGCACGAATAAACTGCTCCATCGTCTGATTCGTCCACCCCGTTTGACTGTCGGTGTCGGGGTGGTACAACGAGCTGAACTATAGCCTGGTCCCGAACTGCTCCTAGAGGTTCTTCCAGAAGTTGCTGGTAAACTTCGTGTCGCGGTCGCTGATGATTGCGACTGGTATCCCGTGAAGTCGAACGACAGTTGCGATGAACAGGCGAGCGGTTTCTTTGGCTGAGATCGATTTCCTGCACGCAGCGAAGTGAGCCATTTTCGTCAGCCTGTCAACGTTGACCATAACTGCGCCATTACCCCCAGGGTTCGAAGGTAACCCTGTGACGAAATCCATGGTAACCTACTGCCAAGCGCGCTCAGGCGGTGGAATCTGCTGCAATTGACCCACCTTTCTTTTTCGCGAGCTCTTCATCACCTGACACATAGGACACGAGCCCACGTGGTGTTGTACGTCGGTCAACAGCTCCGGCCAGTAGTAGTACCGCTGCAGTTGCTGTCGCGTTTTTTCTACCCCAAAGTGACCCGAGGTAATCCCGTCGTGTGCCTCCTGCAGTAACAGTTCCCTCAGTAGTGAGTACGTGGGTACCCAGATGCGGTTGGTGCCTATTTTTATGTAATAGACTCCTTTAGCTTCTGCCAGTCGCTGTGAATTTCCGGTCGTGAAAAATGGGTCGGTGCGATATCCGTGGGTGAATAGGCCTGTCAACAGTGGGTTGGTTTGGGCGAGTAGGATGGCGTGAAGTTGGTGTCAGAATATCATAGCTCGTGCATATTGTGTAGGCTATAGTGGGGTAACCCATAAGGGGTACAACCCAATTAGGGTTAGTACTTGTACCCAGTTCATTCATAGTTCATCCATTCCTTGTTTCTTATCATGGTATCGAGCAGGTTCCCTCGTGGGAACTGTTCCTAGGGCCCACCGTTTTTTTTCCTGCCCGGAGCGCACTCAGCCCCTGCCCGAGTCGCGCTCCCCTCTCTCGCGCCGCCCTAGCGGCCCCTTCGCGCCGCCCTCGCGGCCCCTTCGAGCCGCCCTCGCGGCTCTGTCGCCCTACCCTAGCGACCCCGCGGCCCCACCCTCGCGGCGCCGGCCGCCTCCCTTCGCGGCCCCGATCCGCCGCCCTCGCGCCCCCCCCCCCCCCCCCCTACTCCGCCGCCCTTCGCGGCCCCTACTCCGCCGCCCTCGCGGCCCCGATCCGCCGCCCTCGCGGCCCCGATCCGCCGCCCTCGCGGCCCCGCTCCGCCGCCCTCGCGGCCCCGATCCGCCGCCCTTCGCGGCCCCGATCCGCCGCCCTCGCGGCCCCTACTTCGCCGCCCTCGCGGCCCCGATCCGCCGCCCTCGCGGCCCCGATCCGCCGCCCTCGCGGCCCCTACTCCGCCGCCCTCGCGGCCCCTACTCCGCCGCCCTCGCGGCCCCGATCCGCCGCCCTCGCGGCCCCGATCCGCCGCCCTAGCGGCCCCGACCCCTGCTCCTACGGCCCCGGCGCCTGCTCCTACGGCCCCCACGCCTACTCCTACGAGCAGCCCAGCCGCCGAGCCGCCCGGCAACCGAGCAGCCCAGCCGCTGAGCCGCCGAGCCGCCCAGCAACCGAGCCGCCCAGCCGCCGAGCCGCCCAGCAGCCGAGCCGCCCAGCAGCCGAGCCGCCCAGCCGCCGATACGCCCAGCAGCCGAGCCGCCCAGCAGCCGAGCCGCCCAGCCGCCGAGCCGCCCAGCAGCCGAGCCGCCCAGCAGCCGAGCAGCCGAGCCGCCCAGCAGCCGAGCCGTCCAGCCGTCGAGTCGCCGAGCCGCCCTGCAGCCGAGCCGCCCGAGCCGCCCTGTCCGGTAAGAGCAGCGCCTCTCTCACAGCACTGCCCTCACCCTACTGTTTCCACTGCTAGTCTACTGCTGTCATGGCTACCCCTAGTGTCCTCGCTTTTGACGCTGAGGGTCGGGCCATTGACTTTGAAGTCTGGATAGATGACCTGCAGCTTTTCTTACAGTGCGATAGGGCAGACGGCCTCTCCCTCTTTGACCTCACTTCTGGTGCCAGCGAGGGATCTCAGTGGCGTCAGGGAACTGGGAACGCCAGGCGTCTGTCAGGCGGCTGAAGCAGCGCTGGGTGGCGTGCAGGCCGCCACACTGCTCTCCAGTGCGGTCGCCGGTGCGCAGGACGTAGGCACAGGGACCAGCACCCCCAGACCCCTGGCGCCCTGCGTACCACTCACGAAGCTGCTGGGGCGAGGGGGTCTCACGAGAGCGTGGCTGGTGCTGGGGTCCCCGCTGCACAGCGCCGCCTCGACCAGCTCCACCTCCGCCGCTGCCGCCTCCGCCGCCTCCACCCCAACCGCCACTGCCACCGCCGCCTCCACCTCCACCGCTGCCACCGAAGCCCCCACCTCGGCCACCACCCCCACCCCCACCCCCTCCTCCGCCTCCACCGCCACTACCTCCTCCCCTGCCACCTCCTCCAGTGCCCTTGCCCCGCTTGCCCTTGCCGTTGCGGTGCCTCTCGCTAGGAGCAGACGCAGCACTGACCGACTCGGTGCCAACAAGGTCGACAGCAGCAGCAGAGGCAACGGAGGGCAAAAGAGGAACGGGGGAGCACCCCTCAAAGAAAGGGGTACGGGGGTCACCACGAGAGGCTCCTACAGCGGTAATACTAGTCTCTGCTGCAAGGAGGCGCTCCTCGAGGAGGTCAACGGTGAGTGTGGTAGGGCAAAGAGAGAGGAAGTGGTCCCTGACCGAGCGAAGGGTGTCAGGGAGTCGGGTGACTAGGTAGTAGAGGGTTATGTACATGGGGGGGGGGTTCTTGGCGCAGAACTCAGCAGGAAGCGCATCGCGGTAGCGGGTGTCACTAGTGCGGAGGTGCGTAATGAGGTCAGTGACTGTGGCAAAAGTGGCGAGGTCAGGGAACAGG